ATTAATTTACAATTATTTGAACACATGGAGTAGTTATATAATGCGAGTAAAATATATAGAATGTTCAGTAAGTATTAAAACAATTTTATTGTTCTTATTGATTGAAACAATTATCCTGTTTCCTTACTTTTTGAACATTTTGTATATTAGTATAAGCTGTACCCAACCGCGCAACATACTCACTCAATATATTAAAATGTTAGTAATGCAATCTCGTTCTAAAATTGTTATCGTCATTAATCATTTTTCCAAGAAAAGTGTTAAAATTAGCTATTTTATATCTGTTCCACTCTGCATCAAAGACGTATAAAAAGGGACGAGGAGATACTATTACCCCGGGCGGCAAATTTTAAGATTTTGAATAGTAGCTACACTGCCATTTTAATGTTGATAATAATATTATCAAAAGTTGATCACATAAAATCATAATAATGGGTCTATGATAAAATACATTTTTTTTGTGGGGGGTTTGTAGGGGTGGCAATAAAACTTTACCTGGATTCGTTAAAACTCTAAATACGTCTTTGCCCTGCATGTATGCAAGGTGATTCTTTTAACGCTAGCCACTCAATTTCTCTTAAAATAATAATTATGTTAAATAAATTAGTCCCTTTATACCTTATAAGAAAATCCATTTTATTTTTTTAATATCAGAATATATATTTAACTATGTAATAAATTAAAAAATGATTTAATTTATAAAACAACTGGCCGATAACAATTTTTGAACCAATATTTTGAAAGTTATTATCATTTTTATATTCAGGCGGTTAGAGGATTGCGGCCGAGAAATATCTATTGATAAAAATGTCATACCTGTGCCTCATCTTCAGTATATACTTTAAAATGGTAATAACTTACAAAATAATGAGTCTAAAATTATTATCGACCAGTGATTTTCTTAATAAGATAATTTTTAACTTTAATACGAAGCTGAGTACGTGTTAATTTTACTATGATATTACTAAGATTTAATATATTAATTTTTTTCAATAATACTAGTAGATATTATGTACTAATTTGATGATATACAGTAGTTTCCATTATTTTTAACTTAATGCGTATTTCACAAACCTAATTAAATTGAATTTTAGCTTCGATGCGAAGCTGATAAGGTATTAATTCTTTCGTGTTTTTTTTTGTCTTTCACCACTTTACCACACATCTCACCGTACTGATTTTTTTAAAATGATACATCAAAAACAAAAATCGTATCTAGTTGAAGACATTGTCCTTAAAAATTGAAAAAATTTCCCTCATTCCCTGTAAATGGGGGACATCCCCCAAAAAATTATTATTTTTAAAATTTGTAAATTTCTACTTTTTTTTTCTTAAAACCACGATTACTTTTTCAAAAGCTAACAAATTAAAAAAAAAAATTTTAAATAGAAACCTTAAGTATTTTCTTTTTATTTTTATTTTATATCATTTTGTTGAAATTCTGACCCTTTACCTACCCATAAGTGGATTTCAAAACAGAAAATTGAACAAAAATGTATTATTTGTGTATAAAATCATCTATTGTAATATTATTTTTTTACTTAAAACTACCAAAACTTGAAAAATGAATGTATCAAAATAACTTTTAATATATATACCTTGGGTAATTCCTTTATATCTGATATAAAGCTTTAACAACCTGACCATCTTACTTGCCCACAGGAGGAGATTCAAAATGGTAACTTTTACACAAAAATTAACATTTTCAACTTAACTTTGAAAATGTTCCAGAAAGACTGCGTCCTTTAAACATATGTGTCAATATGTATATTATTAAAATTAAACACTATCTACAGATTTGCATCGAATCGTTTCTTATGATAGTGATTTTAATCACTGTCAGATATCATCTATACTTGTCCCAACTATGCCACGCCCACACTGTACCTCGATCCCTCTGTGCTACCGTTGTTTTTTATTTTATAAGCTAGTTAAAATATACATATATATATATACATATATAAATTATTTTTTTCATGCAAAATAACATAGGAATTCTATTGTTTTGTAACTAATATCAGTGGTGTTGGACAGTCAATAGTTCGAGTTTTTAAATTAAAATCAACTACACTAGACCGTAGATTTTCCCCCATATGTATTCATCAAGCGAAATTGTCGTTAGTTTATCATGGACAACTTTTTACTTCTCTATAAATCATTTTAAATAATGTTCATCGAAAACTCCTTTTCCACTCAGAAATAAAATAAGACTTCAAATGTAATGATTAATGTGCATCTAAAAAAATCAGGTTTTTGATTATAACCAAAATTTTAGGAATTCGTTTTTTGAGTATAAAATATATGTTGATATAATTTTAATTATTCGTACATATTTTTTAATATAAAACAATATGATTACAATTTAAGATCGATACTTCATGAATAGTTTACTTTAAGTAATAATTTGTTTTAACTCAGTGATTATAAATGTAAAGTTTTTTGCACAATAAATCTTACTTAAAGGTTTTTATACTTATATTCTTGAATTACATTGTACACCTTTTGTTGTACATTTTTGGTCCCTTTTTAATTTTATTTACCATAAATCTGCTCTCTTTGTAATACACGTCTACTGAGACGGTTTTGTTGTTGAACGAGTCATGCATTTTTAAGCAGTTACTTGTTAAGTTACTCTGAAATTTACTTTATTTACCCTTCAGCTCAATAACCTTATGAATTTAATTGTTAACACATACATCTATGTATTAATTTATATGGATATACTTTAGACACTTATCTACATCGTATAGCAGGAAATTTCGAAAAGTGGCAAAGGTATATTAAATTAATTTTGTTCAATAATGATAGTAGATTTTATATATTGATTTCATGATATACAGTAGTTTCTATTATTTTTATTTAATGCGTATTACATAAACTTAATTAAATTGAATTTTAGCTTTGATGCGAAGCTGTGAGGTATTAATTTTACCATGATGTGTATTTTTTTTGTATGTGTCTGTCACTACTTTTTGTTATAATATATACACCACTTATAATTCAATAGTCTATAAATTATTGTCTATTAGTCATCAAATTAAATATATATTATTCATGTCTATCTTTTAAACTATTCTGAGAAATATGTATAACAATGCATTGATTCAAATCTAATGTAATAACTATTTTAAGTAAAATAATATGTAATAACTAATACATTCGAGTAATAAACAGATAATAGTGAAAGGTCGGGACACTTCTTGCATATAGATGAATTAATTTTAATATAAATAAAGCACAAAAATTGCCACTGCGGGTCACTAAAATATTTTTTAAATAAATTATATCGATAACGTTTGTACGAAGTTAACCAGCCTGGTCAAATCTTTGAGTAGGTAGCCTGTGTGGTCAAGAAAAATAGAGAACCCAGTTATGTTTCCATTAATACTCTTAATACATTAATATTTNTAACCAGCCTGGTCAAATCTTTGAGTAGGTAGCCTGTGTGGTCAAGAAAAATAGAGAACCCAGTTATGTTTCCATTAATACTCATGGTATTTATTGATATGACTCACAGTCAGCACAAACTTAGATAACTTCTGTTAAAAATGGTGTTATTATTAATTTAAGTGTGATAATTAATCACAATAATATCTATTTTAAATCATTATTAAATTAATAAATTTTTAAGTATCACTTTGTTTTTATATATTTTACATAAAACCCTCGTACATATACCCCGAAAGAAAATTATGTCATATCATTTTATTCAATATAGTACCTTAATTATTCTCATGCTCATACTAGGTTTTTTTTTGTGTCATTTATTTTTCTCAGCTCTCACTTGACCATTATTGATGAACAATATGTTAAAAGAACACGATTTTTATCATGTTGAACTTATAATCGCCAATTACTGAAAAAAAACCTTTAATTTTAGAAATTTAGACAAATATCTCAAAATTACTCTACCGTAAAAAAAAAATTTTTAATTAAGCATCTGCAAATTAATAGGAGTATAAAATTTCATTTTATACTGAATTACACAGTAGAATCATATTACTAAAATGAACTATTTTTTAATGATCATAGACCAATATCTACTTTACTAAACAAAATTTTAAGCTGATTTCAAGTCTGAAATTAGATTTTTTCTATCACCTATTTTGTGAGATTATTCCTTATTAGAAAACAAGTATTTACACGTGAAAAAAATAATTAAAAAAAAAACTTTTTATCAAGTTATTATTGATGTTTAATATGTTTAAAAAAAATTTGTACAAAATTTCGATTCAATATGTCATATTTAACCTATTTTTATGGTATTTTAAAGTTGATTTATGGGATAGTTTATCATTTAAAATTGTTGAACTTTTAAAAACTTTTTTAGCTCAACTTGCAAGTTTAGAATTAAAAATTTTATGAGGTTTTAAAAATTGTATTTTTTAGATTGATAGGTAATCAGGAACTTATATAATTACTATTAACAGTAAATTTTTGAGGAAAACTCAACATTTCTAATAGATGCTACAATTGAAATATTCAGAACTATATTCCGTATAGTTATATTCTATAGTTTTCTATAATATTATTGATATTTAGAAATATTCCGTGCCTAGTTTCACCAATGATTTCGTCCGTTGTTGTGTTATTGAATTTCATTAAACTTATATTTTTTTTGTATGTTAATACACGTTTTTAACTAATTAGTAATAATATCAAAAATGAGTGGTAAGGAAAAAAATTAATTGCAGTTTTGAAATTAGCGCGAAAAATGATCAAGAAAAGTATATTATTGACTGATAAAAATTCCTTCATTTATTCTTAACTAACGACAAATTATCTTTTAAAAAGTTTTTTATCAAGCCCTTCAGCTTTTATACACATTTGCCATAAAAAACAACTATTTTATAATGTCACTGTAAAAATTACATTACTATGATAATGATTTTAATTACTGCCAGATATAATCTATACTTGTCCCAACTATGCCACGTCCACACTGTGCTACCGTTCTTTGCTATTATACTATCAAGGTAAAAATAATAGTTCCTATTTAAGAAAATTAAATAGAAGGATTTTTTTTTTTGTTTATTATTTTAATGTTTTCTAAACTTTTCTCTTTACAAAAATCTAAAATGTTTAATAGTTTCTGAAATAGTAAATGTCTTGCAAGATTTCGATCACTCTGAAGTTTTTTAATTTTTATTGGTATTAAAATAACAGAGTATTATACCAGTTTCTTTATTAATACAAAACTATAATTTTCTTTTAGGAACAAATGAAATAATCCTCCATGTAAAACACGTGGAGGATTATAACTAATCTCTATATTAGTATGAACATATAATTTTCTATTCAGAACATAGAAAATAATCCACCATATGTTTTGGGAAATCCTTCATGTCAATTGATAAATTTAAACTTTTATTTTGTTTTCTTTTAAAAGCTACTTCTTTAAAATGTTCAATATTTTCAATTTTGAATTCATCCAAGCCATCATTATTCCCTAGGTCGTAAACATTAATTTCATTACTGTTGTCGCTAGTATCACATTCATCATTTTTACTGATACAATAATCTATTGGATTATCTGTGCATAAAAGATCTGTAAATGATAAAAAAATAGTAAAATTTAAGGTGAAATCTCAAGGCAAATAGGAAATATTTAATAGGCAAATAGGTAAATATTATTTTCAATTAATTTGATTAGTGTTATAACTATCCAAGATACAAAATTACTAATTTATTTATTTACTTGTCATTATGTTCCAAAAACCTGCCTTTATTAAATTAAAGCTAGTAAAATTTACTCAGGCGACAAAAGAAGAATTATCTAAGTACTTCAATTTAAGAAATTATTAAGTATTAAAGCAAAAATTATACAACTTCCTGTAAAAATACCCGATTTTCATTTATGTTGTTGAAAAATTAAATCAAATTATAGTTTATTTAATATACAAAATGATTATAAAAGACGATCCGAATATTGAATTTCTCTGAATAATCGGACTATAAAGTCAAAAATTATGTAATACTTTTATAAACTTTACTTTACATGTTTTATATTTATAGTAGCTGGAAAACTCCTATTTAAAATATTTTAGTAAATATTTTAGTTAATTTATTTTCTGTTTAGCTGTAAACATTTTATTCTTGTATTCATAACATATATTACATTTATGAAAAGTTATAAAATTTTAAATATTAACATAAAATGTTTTAAAAATATATTAGTTGTTTCGTAAAATTAATGTGTAGAAAAATGTTGATGCCAAATTTTTTTATCAATGTTTTATGGTTAAATATCTAGAGTATTTTAAAATTTGTAATATATTTTACATAAATATTACAAAAAAAAAATATTTATTATATTAAAATTAAAGAATAAGAATCCAACAATTGTTCAAAATGAAAGTGACGTAATGTATTGACTACATTAAATTAATTTTATTTAAAGCTTACCAATTAAATTTGGTGTTAGAATGTATTTAAAGTCTTTAATAGTAATTCTTCCAACATGCTGTATGGTATAAATCAAATTAAATGAATTTGCATATTTTATGAGTTCTTGAAGATATAAATCAACTTGATTATAGTTTTCTAATATGATTTCATACATCTGCATTAGATTTTGATCTGTTACAATTGTTTCTGATTCTATATTAAACTTTAACATAATATCATTCATAAAGTCTTTTAATTTTTTTAAGATTGTATATAGCAAAATTGTGTTAATAGGACGTATACCACGCAACCAATTTAAAATTGCATGTAAATGATTAAGAATAGATACAAGAAAGCTACTTGCAAAATCAAGAAAAATGTTTAAATTAATAAAATGTTGTAGAATCGTGTTAATTCTTTCACTCAAACATTGTATAGATAGAGTGTCGTTATTTATATAAATTTGGGGGTTTATATCATTTCGAATTATTTCATGTACAAAATGTACATAGTTAGCTATAAGCATTCCAATAGGATGAAAAGTTGCACCGATTAAAAGTTTTTGAAATGCTCTTACATCGATCAATAAATATTGATACTTCGCAAAACGAAATACATCATGTAAAGTCAAGTCAGTTTCGTCAGTACATTGTAAATCAAGGGGAGTAAATCGAAGAAGGTCTAAAATATTTTTTGGTTTACCATCAACGTCAAATTCTTGATGTTGTCTTGATTCCGTACATTTTACTAAATGTTCATCAGACTCATTTAACATTATATTATAAAATAACATATTTTTAGGATGAAATAATGTTACATTGTTTATATCACCTATTTTAGGATTTATTTCTTTTAAGATATTTTCCCTTAGATAATTTGTGACTAAGCCTAATTTATCAATATTTAATTGGCTCGATATGTTCATGAAAGGATATACGACAAATTTTGATATAGGTACTTTAGAACAATGAGTTTCGATATAACGTTCTAACTGCATTATCATTGAATAATTTTGTAATCTTAAACCTTGTATACCAAGGAAAACTTTATTATATTCAATATTATTACTTGTCTCATATCTATACATTACATTTATCGAACCAGAATTATTGTTTAAATACAAATTTACCGTCATTAGGTCATATGGGAAATGATCTTTATCAATTTTATGTAGATCTTGAATCATTAATAATACTACATCGCCATGAGTTTGAATAGCTAGTCCATATTTCTTTAAATCTTCTTCCGTATAAATTTCAATATTTTTATACATTTGTAACAAATAATGTTCATTAAGTTTAAAATAATTCAACATGTATCTAGAATAATTGCAATGTTTTAGTTTGTTATTAGATTTTATTAATGTGACGTTAAATAGTAAAATAGTCAAAATAGTTATAAAAATCATATTTTTTAATTATTCGGAAATTTGAATAAGAAAAAAAAATATTATAATGAAATAATTTGTTAAGAGTCAGTTCATTTTATATGGTAGATTTTCTATTATTAGATTTTTATTTTTTATTTGTATTAAATTTATTTTATGAAACATTTGCGGCTCACAAGATTATTTTGATGTTTTCTACAATAAATAATACAAGAATAAATACAAAAAGAATTCATTAATATTTTTAAATATTAATAAACTTTATTATACATATTCTATTAATAAAATCTAAATAGAGTAGTTATGTAGAACGGGTGTGTAAGCTCGTACTGGTGATATTTATAATATACACTGCCATCGCTACATACTGAATATGTATTAGAATTCTTTCAACTCAATAAGTATATCCTAAAGTCATTATTGACTCATCAAATTTTTTTTTATTAAAATGGCTATAATATTTTATTTTTGTTATGTCAAGAAAAAAAATGTATTATTTTTTTTTATTAAAAACAAATAATAAAAAATATACTTTCAACGTAATCCAAAACTATAAGAATTAATTAAAAAGTAACAACGGTAGCACACAGAGCCGCGACATGGCTCTGTATGGACGTGGCATAGTTGAGACAAGTATAGATGATATCTTACAGTGATTAAAATCATTATCATAAAAACACTTCGATGCAAATCTATAGATAGTGTATAATTTTAAAAAAATGGTAGGCTATTCCAAAAGCAAGATGAACTCGTATTTCCTTCATTATTCCTGATTAGTAGTTCTTGGTTGTGTAGGTATAATATATCAATAAATACTAATTATAGAAATGAAATTGATGTTTAATAATTTAGTAATTTTTACGGTGAAACTATGAAGTTGTTTTTTTTTTTTTATGTTAAACATGTTTAAAAACTGAAGGGCTTGATATAAAACTTTTCAGATCTTCAAGAAATTATCATTAGAGTGAAAAATATATTTTTCATAATTTATTTTTTGGGCTTATTTCAAATTTTCCATATGATTTTTTTTATCACGTCTAATTTTTGATATTATTACTAATTAGTTAGTAATAGTTAGTTAGTTAAAAACGAGTATTAACATATAAAAATGTTACCAAATAATGAGTTTAATTGAATTTAACAACACGTCGGCGAACATAATCATAGGTATTAATAGGCCGGAATATAGTTCAGATATTTCAATTGAAGTTTCTTTTTAAACACCAAGAGTTATATAGAAATGATTAGTATTTTTATTGAAACGATATATTACGCTATAAATACAAAAAATATAATAATTGATTTTAACATAATTTTGGGCTTATTTTTATAATTTTACTGTTTATAGTAATTATACAAGTTCCTGATCATATAACAATTTAAACTAAACTATATTTAAATTTCTTCATGAAATGTTCAATTCTAAACTTGCATGTTGAGCTAAAATAGTGTTTAAAAGTTCAAAATTTTTAAATTATAAACTTTCATGAAAATCAACTTTCAAGGACAAAAAATAGGTTACATTTGATATTTTGATTCGAAATTTTGCACAGGTTTTTTAGCGAATTGAAAATCAAATTTTAAGTGTAAATTATAGTTTTTATAAATTAATAATACTTTTAAAACAAGAGACGTTGAAAAATTAAAATAGCCGTTTTGAAATCTGCTCAAAAATGTGGTTTAGCTAAGTATGTATTTGTCTACTATCATTAAAAAATTTCCATTTTACTGATATCATTTTACTGTGTAATACGGTAAAAAAAATGTATACTTCAATTTTTTATGGATTTACTTAATTATGAATTAATTAACTGTTAATTAACTGTCATGTAAGATAAGTTTTTTTTATCTAGATAACAAGTATATACATTTTTTTAGTAATAGAATTGTCATTTCTTAATCCAAGTAAGTACTCAACGTATCATTCAATTGTATTAAAAATAGATTTTTATAGATAATACAATATTAGTATTCGTAGATCCATTTTCCTATGACACATTTCATGTACTTTAACATAAAAACTGTTAAAATGAAATTTTTAAAATATTTATGTTTTAGTAATATACTGTTAAAAATGTTCTTATTCATAAATACTATGAAAAATATTTTATTATATAACAGGAATATAAAAGTGAATATTTCTATAATGGGTATTAGATATGAAATGAAATTTGGCTTGGCGCCTTTTAAATTACTAGTGTGATGGCTTTCAGTCAGCAATAACATATCCCTAACAATATTATTTGATATTAGAATAATTTTCTAACCACTTTTCATACAAATTATTAGATTTATATCAAAATATAGTTTTGGATAACTTTTGATGTAACTATCAACTATTTAAAATAAAAGATTTTAACTCGGCGAATAAATATGATTTTCAATTTAAATAAAGTTTGTATAAATAAATAGTGTAATCAGAGGAGTTTAAAGTGTTATAAAATACTCTACCATTTTCAATACATAGAATAGATTTAGATCTCAACAACAGAGTATGTAATAATAATGAGTCATAATTTTAAAAAAACTCCATTTATATAATAAATGAAAAAAGGGTTAGTTTTTTAAAGCTACATTGAAAATCATAAATTAAACAATAAATATTACTTAATCATTATCAATAATAGTATAAAAACCTTGAAAATACCGGTGGTTGTTCAATATTATCATTTACTTTAATCAAATTAGATCATAGAAAAGGAATACGGAAAAAACCATCGATTAAGGACAATAATGCATATCCTTAAGAAGAACAATTAAAAAATAGATTAACTTTATTGTTAATAAATTAAATTGATATTGTGAGAATAAATATTAATGATTAATTGTTCCTTGATTATTAAGTTTTAAAAACAATGAATATTTAATTCGATGGATTATTTAAAATTTTGTTTGACACTACAGGATAGATAAAATTACCAATTAATCAGTGAACATAATCATTTGGTTAGCAAAACATGTTAGGCATAAATATTCTATCAAACTTTATAATAATGATTGAAAAATATATAGATTAATAAATTTTAGTAATTAGTTATTGTTCCAATCTAAAATTTTAATTAAACACCACAGTTATAAAAAATAGACATATCAAAATATTAACTGAAAATTAGTATGTTTCTTTATTATTTACTTACTAAAGGAAAATATCTAAATATTCTATATGAACTTTAAACAGTTTAAATACTATAAAATATTAAAATAGTAATGATAGGAAGTGGAGGCAAGACGAATCCCGTAGACCACAGGTCAAGAACGCACAACAGTTTTCATTAGACAACGGTTTAACCGGTCCTACTGCTTTTCTATTTAATATAGTTCGGACAATTCTTTAGTTTAATATTTAAAATGAAAGTTCATATTACCGTTACAATTTTGTTAGCCTTTGAGGTAATTACCATAGTAAACGCGAATATCTTCGGTAATATTTTTCGCCTGTTTGAAAAGACCACAGAAACGGTCGTCAGTGAAACCACGTCAAAATATTATACAACAAATACAAAAACCCAACAAGATAATTCAAAATTCTTAAATAGATTGGATTATTCCAAAAATATCAAACAATACGAGGACTATACAACTAAGAATATAAATGATGGATATAATGATATTCAGAAAAATCATTTAATACGCTGGAATACAACTGATAATGTTAAAAATGTTGTGATTACAATACAACCTGACACATTTAACAAAAATACGGTTACTGATATTCCAAAAATTGAATCGACCACAAATTCTAGAGTGCTAATAAACGCACCTACAAAAGGATGTCCAGAAGGTCAACGGATGAGCCCTGACAGAACTTGTGTAACTAGTGTGACGGATCCTGAAGTTGATGAATGAAACTATCCAATATTCTGCTATATTATACTTGTAAGTACAGTTTCTTTGAGTACTACACTGTACTACGAAGATGAAAACTTAACATCTTTATCGTCAAATGAAGAAAAACAATAATAATTTTGTTTCTTAATATTAAATTGGTCTATCAATAAAAAAATGAATAAAATTCAACTTTATTTAGATTTTTAATTATATAAGTAATTTTAATAAATTTTATATGTCAGAATTTTTATTTAATTTAACATTAAATTTACTGTATAGATATTTATTAATAATAAAAGACTATCATTTATTATTTATATTAGTGCCTTTTTTATCTCTGTATAATTTTGTAATTACATTAGTAAAACTATAATAATAATTTATGCGATTATGTGTGTAAGGTATAATTAAAGCACAGAATAGTTTAAAAATATTTAGACCTTAAATTTATTTAATAAAACATACCTGAATTCTTTAATTTTGTCTAAACTCATGAAAATAATACAATTTCAAATACATCATTGATAATAATAAACAAAAATATGTGATGTTATTGACGCTTAACTTTTAAACATAAGATAACTTATAAATAAACTATTCAAAGTCTTTTAATATTAAGAATTAAAGCTTATACTTTGTCTTAAATACTTAAAAATAAATTTTATTGCGGTAGTATTAAAAATTGCTGCATAATACATAAGATGAGTCATATCAGAAAAATAACTTCAAATTTATTTGGCTAAATTTTCATTAATGCTAAAACTTGTGTTGAAGCGAAAGTCCATTCAATATATTTCGTAGTAATTGAAAACCTAGAATTTATTATAGTAACGTCGATGAGTAATACCAAAATTTGTCTTTTTGCCAATTTATGTAAAATGTACAACTACATATAAGACTGGTGGGGTTTTTAGTGGTCATCCAAGAAGTCTCTAATAATTTTTTATTACCATATGGCATGCAACATATTGGTTGTACAATAAAATAATTTTATATAAAAGTATCAATTACTATTAGTCATTATGACCAAAAATATCCATAATTTTTACAACTTATGATAATGAAATTATGAATAATATAACTAATAAATTATTTTTATTGCTAGTTGCGCTCACTTATCAGTTAAGTTTCTACTAAAATATTCTTACTAAGAGTTTACAAAACAACGACCTTTATTCTATATATTGAATAATTAACCTTATCTAAAAAGAATTTTTTAGTCTTAGCATTAATAACATTGTTGCGTTCGATCAATTGTACTACGACTGATTTATTATTGATGAAATTTTAGCCAAACGCCCTGTCCATGTGCAAACAATGAAATATGTGTCATCGGTAAAACTTGATGAGGAAGAGGTGGTGTTTGTTGCGGCAGCGGAAAAGGAGGAGCTGTGAAGGTCCGTTCTCTTTAAAAGAAATATTATAATTATAATTCGCACAACGCAGTCTTGGTCATACTTCGATCGTACCGGTTCTCGCAAACACGTTGCTAATCACGTAACTTAACCATTAAAAAATAAGTGCCTAATTAAAAAAATATTTGAAATGGAAATCCGAATTATTTTCATCATCACTTTAGCGATAATTGCAATGGCGGTGACTTTAACAGAAACAGCCATTACCAAACAAATGAAAAACAAACGCTTACAACCAGCACAAAGCATATCTCAAAGGAAAACTCAACAACCATCTAAGCAAAAGCAGGTACCACAAACCTCGAAACCTAAAATTCCACAGCAAAATCAACGACAGCCTCAGTCTAAACCTCATGGAGGTCCGACAAGAATAGAAGGACCCGGATATGGACAAAGACAAACACAATACCCGTACTACAACAACCGTCAATATCCTCCGGTCGTGACGTCAAGGCCCAAGTTTGAAACGACTACAAACGACCGAGCTCTTATTAACGCACCTTTCAGAACAATGTGTCCTGCTGGTCAACGAATGGATCCCGATAGAAATTGCATCACGGTGTTCAGAGATCCAGAAACTGAAAGATAGGTAAAAACACTTTAATTTAAGGAAAAATATAATAAACATATAAAATTGAATATTTCATTTATGTTTTTGTAAAGTCAATTTTGGACGACCCAATTGAAAAACTTAATAACACATTTACACTGTTAAATTAATCTAATTTTGATTCTTAAATTGACATTCATCATTTTTAAGAAAATATGATCACAAAAATGTTAATTATTTTAAAAGTTAGCTAGTAAAACGTAGACACTTCGTAATGTGCCAAAATAAACGATTTTTATTCTTATATACAATTAATTTTGTATTTAAAGTAAACATCATTTACATTGTATATTTTAGTAATTTATTGATTATGAATTTAAGTTAATTTATTAATTACATTCTACTGTATGTTTAGTTAAGTAAAATGTTTGTAGTATATTGTATTATATATTGATACAATATTTGAATAAATCTAATATTATTTTATTCCACGTGTGTTTTACACGTGTTATTAAAAAAGAGCAAAAATGTTAATTTTTTAATTCTTGAAAATTAAAATAGTGTTTAAACTGTATTGTGGTCATCAATTTAAAATCGTGGAATCTTCCAAAACATTTTGAATTTTTGATAGGATTAAATTCAAACTACCAAGATGCAAAATACGTATATACAATATGTGCATTTAAATGATACATACGATTACAATTTTACACTAATTCAATTATCTTTGACACAATTTCGTATGTATTGACCTATATTTAGAAAATATTCCCTAAGTACAATATGATAATAAAATGGACAAGTTCAATTTTCTTGTATTTTATTTTCTAGTATATTCCGTTTATTTTACATTTTTTAGTCCACATTAAACATTATAATATATTATTAAATCATGTATTTCATATAAAATATTACCATTATTTTACTGTACAAATAATTTAATATTATTTTAATAATTATTCACAATAAATATTCTAAATGATTTACTAGAAAAATATTTACAGGCACTTCGTTTGGCAGTTAATATGCACATTCAAAAGTAAAAGTATGATAGCATTTATAAATGATTATTATACTAAAAATAATTTAAAGGTCTCAATAATTATAAGTATTTAAATGCAATCAATGTTATTTATTCTGAAAATGTCAACATACATCAAAAGTCATATCACATCAAAATGAACCAAACAGTAACATGCTTTTTGTTAAAAATTCTTGAAGTTTTTCAACAGTAAATATAATCATCATATAGTCTATAATCTACAGAAATTTAAATAATCCATTTACATTTAGTTCAATAATTAATGGACTATAAATGTCATTCTAATAAGATTAATATACAAACAAGCGGTGAACATGTGTTGATCATTGAATCCAAAACCTACCAATAAGTTATACTATATAAAAAAATTCTATCTAGACTAAATTTGGATCTAATATAAAAATTAGTAAATTCTAAACCCATAAAATCTTTTGTAGACGTTAGGAGTTTTGAAAATTAATAAATTCTCACAATTTTTGAAAATTGTTTGGAATATATCTTTTTCAAATAACTATATGCTCTTCCTTAAACTAGTGGCCATGGTTCATACTTTATACAGTATGATTTATTAAGTATACTACACACCATTGTTTCTTTAAATAATTCATTTTTTCATAAAAATGTATTGATTAAAATTTAATTTATTTTTATAAACCATTGTAAATACCTAAATACCTAAGTTGTTATAAGAATAAAATATTCCTAAGGGTAGAATTTAGAGGTAATTTTTAAAAGTTAAACAGGAAACTAATATTATTTTTCTACTATTATAAGAAGAATAATCTAGATATAATGTTGACAGGTCGGTAATCAGTATTATTACTTTTTGAAATATTAGCATTTGAGAATTTATAAAAAGCGGTTTAGTGTTTAGTGACAATCTACTTTAATATACGTAAATATAAAAACTCTTATACGTTTACACCCCGCTCACATATAACTAAAAACTATAACAACTCAAAAAGTAATAACATAATACTGGTTATCAACTTGCCAACATTTTATTCTTAATAATCATAATCTTTAAAAAATTAATACTAATTAAAATACTACAATATAAAAGTAAAATACTCTAACTTCTTATTTAGCAATTTTTTTAATTATTCATTTATTGATGAAAAAATGTTCAACGTAAGTTTTTTGAAATAGATGATCGAAGATCTAGTCCTTCGAATTCAGTATATAAAAACCTGCAATTTCACTCTTTGTTTCTATTTTTCATACAAATTTATTGATAATATATACATTTTTAAGCCACGGGCATATTTAGTATTACTACATTAATTTGTGTTAAATATAACCATATGCATCGACAAAGATAATTTATTGTATTAATCTTTACAGACTGTCTACAAATTACTTATTAAATTTTTTTTTTATTTTAATACATAATGTAGAAACCGTAAGTCAAATGCCAGTTAGACTATCGGTGAAAGGAGTAAGGACATATATTTACATGGAAATGTAATTAATTCTTCTGTTGATATTTACTAAATCGGTGTTGGTTGGACATCAAACATAAGACTTTTAATATTTTCTTTGAAACAAACAATTTATTGTGTCCGTTCAAAAGATAATAACTTTTTTTTTTGTAAAATAAAAATAAATGTAACTATATTTATGACCATTATAGAAACTGTTATTGCAAGGAAACTTACGAACAAATACCTTCACCACTTTTTTACATGATAGAAGAATAAATGCACAGAATAGCTTGTTTCCTCTTATTAGATATCTTCTAGTAGCATACAATTATTTTATACATTTTTTAACGTCAACCATTGGTCAAGTTCAAAATTAAACTCACACAGTACAACAACACATAAATCCAATTTGGAAACAACTTCAGGCAACAAAATATTTCAAAGGATACCAAACCATTTGTTTTGACTAGTAGGACAGCATATGAATCCAAATCGATAATGCGTTCTTGATGCAAAAGAAGGTTCTGAAAATAATGAACACTATTTTTACAAAATAATATCAAAACATTCGCTTTGTTCCCAAAGAGTAACATATGAATCTAAATAGAGAGTACGTTTTGATTATTAACAGAAAAAGACTTTGAAGAAGATTATTAAAATACTACAATTTCTTAAACTAGTTTATCAAAAATATTTATTTCATATTTTGTTCATAATATGTATGTTCAATATAACTTGACAACATCTTAAAATATATACTTAGCGTAACAAAATGTTATCGAATAAATTTTAGTAATTATTAAAATAAGGATACCTTATGTATTGTATTTACATTCCTATGTTATTTATAATGTGTTTTCATATAAGCGCAATAATTTTTTTAAAACAATAACAGCATGTTTTTCTACTTTATAGTTATTTATACTTCATTTTTCAAATAGAAAAATATTTTTAATCATTAAAAATAAAAATTGAAAATTCTAAATATTCATCAGAAATGTACATATTTGTATTTTTTTCTTAAAGTACTTAAATCTTCTTTATTCTTTAATAAAATCTATGTAATTGTATAATTTTGTGTTTACAGAACGATTGATTAATCGATAATCACTAGATCTCTCCTAAAATAAAATTAAATTTGAGGAGGTTTTTTTGCTTAGTATAGTAGTATTTATTTCTCGATTTATAAGTTGTTAAATATTTTTTAGGTCCATTTTATATCCTTTATAATGGTACCAAATTTATTTTTTGGTAACATACATATTTTACTAGTTTAAATATTAGAAAATGTTCCAACTAAGAAATTGATTCGTCGATAACATCTTTTGTATCAATATTTCGAGAGTTATTAACATTTTTATTTCTGGATGGGATTAGGAATGCGGTAGTTATGCGTAATGTTAAAAAAAGCACAACTTGCATCTCATCTCCTGTATACATTTAAAAATTTTAATAACTGCCAAAAAAAAAAATTGTTATAATTTTCTAATATATAATATTTCAAAATATATCTCTAATAGTAAACGGTAAATCAATCAATCACTCAGTATATATATATTAAGATTTTATAGCTTATGTAGCTCATTGTTACATCAGAAGAAGATATTCCTTGAAGGGTTATGGCTAAAAAAATGAGTGTTTTAAATAATTTCCTTTTTTTTTTTTGCTATAGTTTAATTTATTTTATACAACAAATAATTCAAAATTATTATATTATACTTTATGCGTAGACATGTGCTGATGTTATCAGTTATAATATGATAATTTAATTTTGAGATAATAAAAAGTGATAATTACACGCTAAAATAATTGTACGCCTTATTTTTTACACAAATAAAACTAAAAAAAAATTAGAGGCAACAAATATTTATAATCTACTATGTTTAGTCACTATAACATTTCTAATTACACAAAATACTATTGAACCCGAATAAATGAGGTAGATTTACTTAACCATAAACATTAAAAATATATACACAATTTATTCATTATTTATTACAATTTTAGAACAAATTTATGTTTAGGATAATTAGGAAACAAAACTTAAAATTATTTGTCTATTTATTAGTTTGTAAATATATTTTATCACTCACAAATGTTAATCATAATTTTTACTATGATAGAATAAATTAGTAATACCATAAAACATTTTAAAAGCTTTGAGATATTATTTATCAAATACATAAACTCGTTTATTTAATACATAAAAAATATTTAATATCCTGTAATTTGCTTATTAAAAATCTGACGTAAGAAATGTTTATAATAATTTATTCAAGAAAAACATGCCAATACACTATTTTAAATAATATTAACTTATTGAAAGTAGGAAATGATAACAAGAATAATTAATAATTAATGAATTATAATATAATACAACTAATTATACAGATTATACGAAAAGAATGTTAACTTAATGAAATAAATCTTGTAGATATTAAGGCGCTTTGTCCAAGTGTTCTAGATAATTTGTTAAAATCAGAAATATTATTTTAAAAAATGTTTAATTATACTTTAAATGTTCTACATTTACTTAAGAATGATCACTCTTGATATTGAACTTTTTTAAATGACAATTAAACCAATTTTGTGTTTATGTCTAAACAAAAAAATTAACAGTTAAGTAACTAGTTTTAATCACGTATTATAATTGCAAAGTGCTTTTGTAAATAAGCGGTGTTAAAGAAAACCCTACTTTATATACCGCTCCCCACTTCATATACTAAGAAAATTATCATAGGGTACCTGTAAATCTACAGATGATCATCGATTATTTTGTATCGATCGAACAACTAGTTTTATCGTTAGTTCAAGTTAAATTTACTGTAAATTAAACATAAATTTGTGTTCCAATATGAAATATTTGTTCATATTTTTAATCATTCTAGTGACGGTGTTCGATAGTTACACCATAGAAGGTAATATTTTACTACAACGATTACATCTGTCATCACAAAACACTACTTCAATATTATCTTCTATTTTAAACGCAAAAAAAAATATTATAACTACAGCATTGACACATCCAACTGCACATAGATTTTGGGGAAACCATATGGGCTTAAATGTTCCACCAGTTAACATCCAAACAATAACATCGAAAACAACGATAAGGACGACATCACCATGGACTTCGACAATTGGTACTACACCAAAACCTGAGGTCCCAGTTACTCATTATCACGTTCCTCTCATTATAACAAAATTCTCACTGTGTCCTGCAGGACAGCGAATGAGTCCTGATAGAGAATGTATTCCTGACGTTGGCAACAAAGATGAAGAAGAGTATTAAATACAAATGTTCGTAAAACAATCAAGTAGCATTGATTTAATATTTCTAAAATGTAATAAACATTTTTTTTTATTCAATACATTAAATTATTGTAGCATAAATTAATGTTTAATGTTACGTCCATCGTAAATTGTATATATTTCAATAAATGGCTAGTAAAATATATCACATAGCTAAGTACTTAACAATGTTTTACATTTTATTTTACACATTTCACTAATTCAAATTAATAATTTTAAAGTAACTATTCTAATTATTGTACATTTTATCAATAAAATAAACTATGAACCCAATACCAATGATATCTGTTTCAAAGTAAAATACATTATACTGCAATTGAACGGTTTTTAAAATAAAAATACATGTAAATTATCAACAGTTTGCTGTTGCACTAATTAAGCGTTAATTAAACTAACCTATACTGAGTAGTAGTATATTTTAAAAATTCAATAAACTATTTTTTTAGTATACAAACAAAATAATTTAAAATATAACAATTCTTTAGTAACTAAAAAAACAATTAATTCAAGAATAGTAATGGAAAAATATTTTTTATACGTGATGTGTAACTTACCATACTTGGATCATTTTTGTAATACTACACAATTATTTTTGTATTGATTATACTTTAATATACTTATATTTATAATTATATTTGTGTATACAATGTACGAAAAAATTAAGAATTTAATTCAAATAAATCCTTAATGCAAACTCATAAAATTAATATTTAACTATAAGTCCTGTTTATTTTATTATTATTAACCACATTAGTTTTCTTAATTTACCTGTTGCTTAGAAAATCACTTATCTCGATATGTCTCGGAAGAGATGGAAATGGTGGCGGTATAGCTTGGAAGGGGAGGAAAGGCACACATTATTTTTATCCAACTAGTAGGTTTGGTATACGCAACACAGTCATAATCGAAATACCTCCTCGTAAGTGTGGTCAGTTCCGCAAAATTTATAATTAACTATCAAAAACGAATCAACCCATTGAGTGATACAATTTTAATAGATTTTTAAAATAGTGTATATTGTTATTCACGTAGAATGGAAATTCGAGTAGTTTTCTTAGTGGTCGCATTAGCCGTAACTGTTTCTGAAGCTGGTGTATTGTCAAACATTCGCGATGGAATTCACAATAGGTTTAACAGTTTGAATAATCTAAATCCTTTTGCTCAAGTTATTACTACCCAAGAACCACAAAAATCATCCACTCCACACAATCAACTTAATGGTATATTACCAACGAATGGTCGGTTAGGTGACATCAACCAACACACTTCCGATCCTACAAAGAGCCAAAATCCATTGCAATCAATACTACCAAATACAACCCCAGGGCCCAAATTGGAGACCACTACGCACACCCGGTCAATCATCAACGCACCTTCGGTTTCTTGTCCAAACGGTCAAAAAATGACAGCTGACAGAGAGTGTAGAGAAGAGTTTGTCGATGATTAACTGGAACAAATGATAAGTAAATTTTTAATGTTTATAATTTCATAGATTTAATCAATTTTATTTAAATTTAATTTTACACTAAATTGACGATTATAAAAAACAATAAATTTAGCTAATTTATTATTATAGAAATGTTATTATTAGTTATTTTTGTATTTATACACATACATATACATATGATAAATGATGGATGAATCAATAAAAATAAATTTTAATTTTATAGTTTCTTATCACATTTTGTTTTATTATTTTGATTTTAAAAAATGTAAATAATGCATATTAGTTTTCCCTGATCTGCAAATAACATGCTTAGTATTTTCCCTATACTTATTACATTTTTGAAGTTATATTAATTGTTTTTCATTTTCACATATACTATTTTAGAACTTTTTTTTTTTAATTTTCCAAAGCACATACAAGTTTAATTGATTGGAATCATATTGGTATATATACTAGCTGTCATTCTCAATAACACAGCAGGATATCAAGGTTTTATCGCAAAAGCACACACTTATTTTATGTGTCCATATAGAACGTCGATATTCATTATAACTGATTGTTATTCAATATAATAAATAATATTAGATACATTAATATCATTATAGATATCTTATTTATAAGTTTAGTTTTCCAGCTAGTTTTAATACAATGCCTGATGAATAGGTATTCTTATTTTTAGAGTGTTAGAGTAAACATTTTCGAAAAACAAAGTCTTAATTAAATTATGGTTTTAAATTTAACTGTTTCATACTAAAATGAGTAATACATCTTATTTCAGTCATAAACGCCCATGTTATACATTAATGAAATATATCAACTCAACAGTGTAATCTAAATGTTAGTATATTATAATACTGTACATCTAGTCATAGTTGTAAGAAGCATTCTCGCAATTGTAACGAAACATACATATTTTCTTGGTTAGATTAGCCAGTTAAATATTTTACAGTTTGCTAGAATACTTCTTAAATGTATTTAAAAAATTCATTCAAATTAATGGTTTTGGTCATAGGAAAAGTAAAGACTTTCACAAAATGAAGTATTTAATTCCTTATCCAATAGAAAAAATACTGAGAACTTCATATTGTACAAATATTTAATATAATAAAAAGAAAACCGAAACTAGTATTTAAATATTATACATTTTAAACAAATTTTACTTTTGTACATTACTTAATTTAAATTAGTTACCTTAACAAACTCATATTTAAATATTAGACGATTTCAAAATCTAAACAATAATACTATTTTCGGTAATATTATTTTTTTTATCAACATTTTTCATAAATATAATCAAACTATTAAATTAATAGAAACGGTAATAACTATTATTCATAATAATAATTGGCGTTTTAATGACTTTGTGATTAACATTAATTAAAGAATGAAAAAAAAAATACAATTTTTAATTAAACTTTTTCTGTCTATAGTTCATTGTACATAACAAGACACCTTGCTCTATTTATCATAAGTATACTTATAAGATAATTCTTCAGTAATAAATATATAAAAAGGTTTTTTTGATTTTGGACTATGGTAATGTCATTATTCTAGAACAACTATCCACTAAATACCTTATAAAGATTACACTTGTATATGTGGCAACATAAGTGAGTTACAGTAATTTTTGTTTTATGTAATTTTAACTGCCTTTGCTAGTTTATCGAAGAAATAAAAAGTTATAGGTTATGTGATTTGATAAATAATCGTCTTAAACCCATAGAGTGACTAAATGAATAGCTTTTATAAAATTGTTTTAGTTAGTAATTATTCTCGAATTTAAATATGTTTATAATTATATTTACTACTATTCTAGCTCAAATTGTCATCAACTTTTATTTTATATGTTCATGACTATAATTAAATAAATTATTCAAATGTTTTATCATTAATCCTTCGTTGTATTACAAAGGAGATCTAAGCTTTCATCATCAAATTTAATAAATATCTTGTGGCTAAATTAATTCTTTTTACAAAAAATATAACTTTAGTCTGATTAACTAAATTTTTGAGTTTAATGAACAATTATATTTTTAATTATATTCATTAATTGTTATAGAAGAAATATAATTTATTATTATAAAAATACACATTATTACTCATTAAATATGTATTTTAATTACTACTTTTATTTCATCAAAAGTCAATTAAGAAATTAAATATGTTAGTATAAATGTGCAATGAAACATAAATATAGCATTAATCATAACATGTTATTATGATTATTATTTTCAACTATTATAACAGTTAAATATAATATCAATTATCTATAATAACATCTTAAATCACAGTAATTTGACGAAGACCTAAGTTGTTAATAGTCAATCTTGATAAATAGTAAAACTATTATACATTCATTAACATTATTTGGATTATCTTATTTTTTGAGGAATTTTAACCTTAAATTTTAATCTACTTCCAATCGTACACTAATTTTTTTTTTAATGTATCTTTTAAATCAAAATCTATAATAATAATAGTTATAATCATGTGTTAAAAATTCATTCAAAATTAATACGAGAAGTGATTAAGTCTGAAAAATGGCAATTTTCAAGTGTATTTTTATAAACGTTGAATTACGTATTGAGAAAAAGACGAAGAAAACAATCATTTCATGTTAAACATTAAATATATATATATATATATATATGAAAATTTTTCCTTATCTAAAGAATTTGGGAAATTTATTAGCAATAGAATATAACATTTAGATCAAACAAGATTTAGTGATAAAAAAACCAAAAAAGTTTGTTTTGTACATTAATTGTAATTATAATTAATGTACTTATAAATTTAAAAATAAAATAAAATTTATTTATTTATTAAAATGATTATTTAATTATTATCACGATTATTAATTATTATTATTATTATTATACATGTTAAAAATTATGATGTATATTTTAATAAGTTATAAATGTTTTAATTAAGAACGATACAAACTACTACTGCGTAATGGAGAAATTGAAATGTATTATATATATTTAAATAATCTAATAAATATAAAAATGATAAGCTAATTACGATTTAAAATGATATTCAAATTACAATGTAGAGTTTCTAATTATATAGCAATACGCAACGAATAATATTGGATTTTTATATTGTGTAGTATTTAAATTTAGTTTTAACTTTTGTTATTATAATAACTTTCATTAAAATATCGAAAATTTGGTTTAAATCGTAATTAAACTATTTAGAAAACTATAAACATATAGGTTGTAATTAAATAGTAAATTTTATTTTTGATTTCCTGAAAAAAGTAAGTTACTCTCTTATTTGTTGCGCATATGGAATGTAAAATTTTTTAATTTTAGTTAATTATCGGAAAACATACGATAATTTTGTATCAAATATCTAATTATTTGAATATAACAAAGGCTGAATTTTGACTTGTGATAATTAAACACTAAAGAGATCTGCTATCTTCTACCTATCAAATTTTTAAGTTTAGTTACAAAAGCTCATAAAGCGTTAATAATTTCTATGGAAAATGTTTCATTCCTATAATCAATACTTACCGTAAACAGATTTTGTTTTCTTCTGTCTTTTTCTCAATACGTATTTCAATGTTTGTAAAAAACACACAACAAAATTATATTTATTTAGATTTCTAAATGAAATGAATCCTATGAATCGATGCCAATAGATAAGTAGTTTCATTAAGAAAAGGGTAAAAGTGATTGTTATTCTCTTTTTACAAATTTATAAATGTAAATTTATTATGTTAAAATAGAGTACAATAATATTTAGTCTTGCCTAGACAAAATGTTAAGTAACATTTGGTATACTAAAGTATCTTATTTTCATTCTGTTTTTAACTAAGGTACATCAACTACAGATAGAGAAAAACTTAGTTATTTTTCAATACCTTAAATATTATTTGTCAAAAATATTACTGGTAAATTTTGATTAATAAATAATTTACCCTTTTACATTAGTTTTGGTCGATTGCCAATTAAGATTTTCATTTTTCTGGCGGTTACTCTTTAAAGTAATACGTTTAGCAAATAAAGAGCGAAATTTGTGTTGTTATAACGTTACACAAGTACAACAAAACCAAATTAGTCAGTATTTCTTTATTAAGTCAATGAGTTGATGAACGTATTTACCCTAGAATTTAATTATATTTTATCAAAGTATTAGATGAATGATAAGTTCCGTCTCCTGTATTTATTTTTGTAAATCACGTTAGTTGGATATTTTTGTTATTTTTCTTTGTTCCATCTACTTCTCTTTACTTAAACAAAAAAATATATTAACTCAAAAAATTTATTTTGAACTTAAAATTATATTTGTTCTTCAATACTTATATATCATTTTAAATAAAATCTTAACAATAAAAAAAGTTTTTTATTTAACATTTTTCAAAAGTGATTTCTATTTTAATGACTGCAAATTAAAATGTTATTATACAGTAGAATAAGGAAAAAATAAGCTTTTCTGAGAAAATTACGTAGCGTATATTGATATTCACAATTTTTTTTATTCAATGAAAGTGCTTGGTCACGAGATTTTGAGAAAATTGTTGGAAAAGGTCGGAAATTTTTGGCGCTCGACCGCAAGCGTTTTAAAATTTCGATCGTTTTTGAGAAAAACGTTCGATAACGTCAATGCTAGTTACGACTTAAAGCTTGAAATTTTCACTATACCCGTCTAAAGACATTTCTAAAATATCATAAAATTAATTCAATCCAATATTTTTTTTACTGTTTTACTATCTTCTTTTTATCATACACTCGAGACGACAGGGTGCGCTGTCCAAATTTCTTACGACACACTACGAAAACGATTTTTTTTCGATTCGCAATTTTATCTCAGTAATATACACGAGTCAAGGAAGCACCAAAAATCCGAAGATCCAAGATTGCTTTAAAACTTTAGTTCCTATGAGCGTTTGAAATTTATAAAAATTTTAACGAAAAATAATGGTTTTTTTTGTATGACAATACATGTACACAACTCATTAAACAATTAAACAAGGAAATGCTTTTCTGGGAAAATTACATAGGTTGCTCCAATTTTCAGTTCTGCGAGCTTTTTTTTTTAATAGACATGGTTATGTTTTGAATAAGAGTATCGGCTCATTTTTGCTTGTACTTATATTATGACCCTTAATTTGTAGAGAATGATTTTTAAGTTTACTTAATTTGACTGTTAATTTCATTTTAAAAATATGTTTTAGTTTTCCTAAATGTATTGATTGGGTGTTTAAACATTATTCTATTATTCTCTTGAAAATTTTTCTCATACTATGTTAGTTAGTTATACATTGCATATTTAATTTATTAAGTATACAGATATTTTCTATCAATATCTTATAAATAAGTTTGTAATTCAACATTTTTTTGATATATTTAATCAAATTTATTGGTATATTCATCTATTAATTTAATATTATATATATGTCTATGAGTTTACTGTAAAAATTGTGACTTATCTATGAAAATTATACTGTACAGAGACAAATAACAGTAATCAACATTGTCATAAAAATTTCCTTTTTTACATAGTCTTTCTTGTGTATACCTTGGGCGTATTTAAGGGAAATATGAGTGATTACCCCCTTTGAACTAGCCCTATCAATATTTTTTAACATTGTTATTCAAGAAATATGGCTCTAAAAATCTTTTTTTTCATAATGACTGATTTTTAGCAAAAAATTATCTATAGTATATTTATCAAAGTAAAAAAATTAAATACCCACCTAAAATTATTTCTGAATACGCGCTAGTGAATACCTGAATAAAGAAACGTCAACTTTTTACCCAATACATTTTACTATTTTCATTTCTTGAATTTTGCTATTTTTTTATAATTATATTTTTAATATATTTTTGTTACATTGATTCTGATGTTATATTTTTCCTGCAAATCACTTAAAGCCGGGTACTTCTACTGGAATCAATAACCTATTTATAAGGACGGCCCAAAGAGGCTTACACACCGAAGGCGCGTGAGATTTATAGGGACCCTGGAGCTTAGTAATTAATAATATTCATAAAATTTATTAATATTATTGTTAGCATATTTAATATGCATCTAATACAGTAATAATATTTTAATAATATGTATATCTTTACTTAGAGTGACGGTGGGGCCGAGTCGGTAACGGGTCAGTGCTTGACGCACACTACCTCGGGTTCAAAATTCGGTCACTATAATCTTCAATGGACGTGAAAAGCTAAAAAATAAATATAACTTAATTTATTTTAATAACAAAATTCTATAATATGGCTGTATAATTGTGTTGTTTGTTAAGCATGGGTTAACGGAATGCTTTATTTTTGAATTTAACTCGGCAAAATGAAATATTAGATTAATTATCTAAATCCTATTGACACCTTTTAAAGTTATCAAATTCGTTTTCTAAATAGAATAAGATAATATGGCGTATTTTTTAGGAGATGGGACATCAACTACAGATGATTCATTAAGGATAACACATTTATTTTCTCCGAAACAAAAACATTTAAAATTTTTTTAGAGAAAGTTAAGTAATGGTTTTTTATCCCTTCAGGGATAATAAGCCTTTATTTTAACCGTATCGAATGGAAACTTCAATTTTTATTTTAATAATACGAAAGAAAAAACGTACAAACAATTATTTTCAATCGTTCATCTATTATAGCTTTTTAAAATTTGTAAAAATTTGAATTTGTTTATGTTAATATACCGTTATTTAACGTTGTTCTAAGCTCATTAGATAACACAATCTGTATATACTAAATAATGATCGTATGTGTAGTATTTTTTTCTAAGAAAATTAACATCGCTTGATTAAGCGTTTATAACTAAATTGAAAAATATTACCAGAGGTGCCTATTAAAGAAGAACATTAGTATTGAGTGATTATCGTTGCAATGTTGATTTCATTACTAATCATAAAATCTTGTTTATTTTGTGCTGCTGTGGCTGTATTAATAAACTGTTCCATTTTTTTAGTTAAAATACAAATAATTATTTTGTATTGTGAATGTATTATTAATTAAGGTACTAACGTACTAGTATATATGACTAAAAAATAACTTATATAGTATAATTGTACTAGAAAATTTGTATTGTACAAAATCAGGACTTTAACATTATTCAACAAAATTATAAACGTTCATCTAAGCAATGATAATTTTCATGGAAAAAATTCAATACCAAAGACTAGTATTAAGTGTATAGAGGTTGTGTACTTCTATACTTCTCTGATAATTTTAAACCAACGCATAGTGAATAAAAATCAATTTTAGCACGCCATAACTAATATTGTTTGAAATATAACTTTTAAATTATAAATAAGGTTGTACCTTATGTTTTTGAAGTTGCCGAGTCTAAGTGAACTAACAATTTAACATATACTAACAATTTGATATCACTTTTTGTATTTTATCTTTCATTTTGAATAAATCTTTGTGGTCACTTTTTTTACCATTTACCACAATAAATAAGTTGATTCATATTTACATATATGTAAGCATTTGACACCTACAGCGTTAAATTTTGAGGCGTGGAATTTTTTAATATTGATTATAGTAATTACGTATTAGAGTTTTTTAATAATGTCAAAAATTAAAATAGGCAATATTTTTAAAAACACCCTATGAAGGGTAACAATTTTTTAAATGCAATATTGAGTAACGAAACGAAATTCATTTTAACTTAAAATACTTTTATAATGAAGTTAATTTGATTAAACAAAATTAAATTCTAATAAAGTTTTATAAGCATATGTTTAAAAAGGTAAAAATCGTATAGTAAAAATTGATCACTTGTGGCTAATATTATTTATAATAAAAATTTTACCAAAAAAAAAAAAAATAACTAAAAAATAGTGGATACGTATTTCGGAAATAATATAAATATAACATCATACTGTTTCGTTTGGTTTAATAACCAATGATTAAAACAGTTTTTGGTACAGTATAGGGTAATAAAACAAAAATTATAATTAATTCTAAATATTTTTTGATGTATAAAAAAAAAATCATGATTACCTCGAGTTAAAAATAGGAAAACCTTTTTTAAAATTAACCTATTAAGCAAGCTACAAGTTACAAAATGTTACACTTTTAAAGGTTAATTACCACCAATGGATATTTTTTTTAATTAATATTTTTATAATTTTTTAGGATATATTGTAAGTAGTATACCTTTTATTCAATGTCTGTTTAATTATTTTTTCATAATAACTGTTCATTTTTAAAAGAATTAATTTTTTTTATAAAAAAATTGTAAGAACAGGCTGAGTTACTCAGTGTATATAAAATCATTATATAACGTATACATTTCTACTAGTTTAATAAATTTCAAGTCAATAATTTATTTAGTTACAAAATGTACATAATAGTAAATGAGTTGTTGTAACCGCTAAAGACAGCGAATCATATTTTTAACGAGATATAAATTCTTTGAACTTTAAACTAGTATTAATAAATAAAATAAATAATATAATAATATATAAATAATAAAATAGTGTACCACTATAGAACAAATGTATAATTTATTATTTCTATAGTTTAATGATTCATACATAATATTATCCCTACTTAAAAATACTATTTTTGTCTTTTTAAGGTTAAAAATAAAACATATAACTATTAAAGTAAAACATCCAAATAATTTCGAATATTTTTTATATATATTGTTTATTGAAAGTTTTATTAAATTTATATCGTTATATAATTTCATTTTTCATTTTTTTAAGCATTTAATGAGTGAAATATTTATAGAGATTTTGAACTGGGGCACCTCACCTAAGTCTTATACTTTTTGCACGTATGAATAAAACATTTTATGTTTCATTTTGTTTCAAAAATACTAATATTTAAATTTACCTTAACTCGTGTAAATATTATACTAAACTTGGTATTATAAACTATACATGTAAAAACACAAGTATCAAAGGAACTATAATAGAAGTACATTTTTTTGTCACTGAAATAGCTAAAAATAAAATATTAATCGATTATCTGTCCGAGATGTCGAAAAGACAACTTTTTAATATTACAAAGTTTGTTATTTATAAGTTAATAAAATAAGATAATTTAATTAGTTGTAATTATTTATCATAAAATATTTTAATAATATATACATATATTACTACAATATTACATACGTATACAGGGTGGCCCACCACTCATTGACAACTTAAATAACTTTTGATCCAGTTAATATTTTTAGTTGATTTTTTTTTTAAATAATAGTTATACGTTAGGTCTATAGCTATATATCAATAATTAATTTTTTTACATTTTATTAAAAATATTAATTATTTTTAAATTTTAAATAAAATGTAAAAAAAAAATCTAAGATAGCTATTTTGTAGAGTAGAATTTAAGAAAAATTTTAGTAAAAAAATATCTTATTAATATTCAGTAGTAAATATTCTGTAGCGTTTTGAAGTTTGTGAAAATTTGAATTTTCATGTACTATTTTACGGTATTAAACATTGAAATACGTATTGAGAAAAGGACAGAAGAAAACGCTATCTTTTCATGATTACTGTGTATACATATGATGATAGTGTGTATACATTACAAACTTGGCATAAATACCATGATAAGAAATTAGATAAGGCAATTATTACTTATCACTCTCATTCAAAAGTATATTGAAAAGATAGCGTTTTCTTCTGTCCTTTTCTCAATACGTATTTCAATGTTTAATACCGTAAAATAGTACATGAAAATTCAAATTTTCACAAACTTCAAAACGCTACAGAATATTTACTACTGAATATTAATAAGATATTTTTTTACTAAAATTTTTCTTAAATTCTACTCTACAAAATAGCTATCTTAGATTTTTTTTTTACATTTTATTTAAAATTTAAAAATAATTAATATTTTTAATAAAATGTAAAAAAATTAATTATTGAGATATAGCTATAGACCTAACGTATAACTATTATTTAAAAAAAAAATCAACTAAAAATATTAACTGGATCAAAAGTTATTTAAGTTGTCAGTGAGTGGTGGGCCACCCTGTATATATATATATTATTTTTTATTTTTTTTAAACTCAAACTCAAACTTTAGATGATATTTATTGCAGTAAATTGATTAAATATTAATATAGATTATACAATAAATTTTGATTATGATAACAAATACAGTGTGGATGTGCCATAGTTGGGACAAGTATAGATATATATTTGACAGTGATTAAAATCACTATCATAAAAAACGCCTCAATGCAAATCTGTAGATAGTGTTGAATTTTAAGAAATTGGAGGTTTATTCCAAAAGCAAAATTAACTCCTATTTTTTGTTTATCTTTGACTGCCATTTGTACATAAAAAGATGGTTTGTCGGGGCAACTTTTTTTTAAAATTCATATTTCATAACATAAGCTTTAATTTAACATATATTTAAAAAATGCAATATTTCCGGAACATTTTCAAAAGTTAAGTTGAAAACATTGAATCTTGTGAAAAAGTTGCTATTTTGAATTCCTCCTGTAGACGAGCAAATGGTCAGATTTTCAAAATATTTATATCAAATAAAAGTAAAATACCTAAGTTTTCTATATTAAAAAAAATTATTTTGGTACGTTTATTTTTCAAAAAGTTAAAGTAGTTTTAAGAGAATAAATGTCAACATTTATCGATTTTAAAAATTGTAATGTTTGGGGATTTCCTCCATTTACGGGGAAGTAGGGAAATTTTTAAGGGCAATGTCTTTAACTATATACGGTTTTGATATTTTGACGTATTGTTGAAAAAAATTGGTCCGGTGAGAGCTGAGAAAAAGTGGCGACAGATAAAAAAAAAACATCATAATAAAATTAATACCTTCTCAGTTTCGTATCGTAGCTTAAATAAATTTATATAAAGACCAAGGAGTTTATTTATGACAAGAAATTTTATTACTTTTTCTGTTTCTTCGGAATTTAATGTTGATGACAAGTAATCTTTTATTCCTATTTGGTGCCCTATATCTGTGTATTTTTTACATTCAGTGAAGAAATTATTAATATAGAAAGACATATAGGCACATGACAAAGTGTACACTTTTACTGTTTCAATGATCAAAATTTCAATAATAATATAGAGATTTCATAATACCAATTTAATATCAATAAGAACACTATTTTAGATTTTCTATATAGAATTGTTTTTGTTCTTTTGGTATACGGTATAAAATAGCACTATTTATAAATCTAAGTTAAGTTCGTTTGTAGTTGTTAAGCGGTCAATGTAAAAATGGAATTTTTTTTTTTTTTTTTTTAATAAATATATAGTGTTTTATCCAAAATTTCGGATTTAAAAAGAAAACAGGTGATATTGTATGGCGCTGTTGCATTAATTTGTGTTATGCTTCGATAAAAACTAATGCTCATAATACAATTGTAACTTCGGTACGTGATACCTATGAACACAACTCTGTAGATGAGAAATTAAATAAGCAGCTCATTAGAAATAATTATAAATGGAAGACTATAGAAGAAACTGTAAGTAAACCATTAAAAATAATATGTGAAGAAATAACAATAACACGTTATATTTTCCAAATAATTTCTTCGTTTAATGTAAATGAAATTAGTACGTCAATGTGCCAAGGTAGGAAAAAACTTATACCTACTCTACCAATAACTTTGGAAAATACTACAGATAATTATGAATTTACTACTCATATTACCGAAAAATTTACTTACATCGATTCATTATCGATTATTATATTTCTTTTTAAAAAAGTTAGAATGACAAAGACAGAAGAAACATTTAATTGTTGTTCTGAGTTACATTAACGATAATGCCATGGATACTAAAATTATTTATAGGTAAATTGAAGATTAATAATAAAATTTGTTCTTATTAACTGATAAAGATAAATTGTTTAATTTTATTTGAATAGAGATAAATTTATTCTTTTGGCATATAGTTTTGTAGGTAGGAAAAATTAAAGTTTGTTCATTTTGATTATGTCGAATGAATGAAAATTATTATTACTGTTTAAAGTAACTAGTAAATTAACTGAATTTGCTATTAAAACTTAGTAACTTATAAATAATAACTCCTTTATTTTTTTAAATCTAACTTTACACCACAATTAAAAAAAAAGAACTAACTAAATTTTAAATAAAATAAGACTGATAGTTTGATTAATAATTAAATTTTTTTTTTACCGAGCTTAACATTTTAGACGTCAAAATTTAGTCAATTAACTGCAAAAGATTTCGACTGCTCAAAAACTAAACCCTAGTAATTTCAATACATAAATCACTTTTTGTTATTTTTGAACCAAATAACTGAAAAATACCGACGAAATATATTGGAAAAACCAAACTGGTAATATACACTGTATTATAATATAAATTAAAACAATAAGACAATAAAACTATTGGCGTTAACAAAGAGTATAGTGAGTCCTGTAAAACAGCTACGATAGATCCTGTTGGTCTGGATTGAGTTTAAAACATTACGTAAAATAGGTAACGCTTGATAATTTTCATTATGAAATGCCTAGACAGCAGGTAAAATATTTTCAAATTATCAAAACACTAAAATTTTAAACAACTGTAAATTTCTCTCATTTTCACTCAAAAAAATTATTTTAATTTTATAGGTTTTTATTTCATTCAGTCCAAAAGATCTTGTCCAAGGAATATATTATTTTTGAAGCGAATTCCTTTTTATCACTATAAGAGATTTATATGTTTACTTAATGATTGCGTCGAAGTACCACATGAATTGTAAGATAGTAATTTGATATTTATACGAGGTATAGTGTTGTTTTAGTAATTCAAGTAGAGGTATCCTGTTTGATTTTCTATTAAATATACCTAGAAATTTGACTGTATGTAGTTTGTCAGGATTGTTCATATTAATTTTTTATTAATAAAAACAAATCGAAATTATTATGAAGAGAAATTTAAGAACCCTTAATGAAACTAGAACATAATACCTGTTACTTTTAAGAATTTCTTTAAAACTGATTCCTAAAAATCTCAAAGATGCATACCCTTGCTGAAATAATATAGCCTCGCGAATCTCAATTTTCTTGGATGAACATTTCTTATAGGAAGTCTTCAACTTTTACTTGAATGGTTCTCTTTTTAAAGAAATTATTAATAATGTTGAATAACTTTTCTATGTTTATAACTGAATTTAATTTTCTTAAAAGTCGAAATCTTAATACAGAAGACTTAATTGCATGAATTACTTTAGATTTCTGTGATTTAATATGATTAATATGTACATTTATCTTTTATTTTTAAGAAGCTTTTCATTGTATTAAAGAGTAAAATTAGAGAATATCTTTTAATTTGTAAACTAATCTATCTAACTAGTCTTTTCCTGATTTTTTAATTATGATTACTACACTGTGCCTCAGCTGTTTTGAAAAAAATGTTTTTATTCCATATTTGATTAAATATTTTTAGAAAAACTTAGTTGCTGGGGAAGATAACTTCATCATCTTCTTTTTCCTCGACTTTATTCCACCTATTTAGGGTCTGTCACCCTTTTACCTAAATTTACACATCATATCGCATATAATAACATCCCTTCTTTTTTGACCCTCCTCTACCTCTTTTCCTTCAACATTTATTTTCACAACTGTTCTTATATCTTCCAATGACTCTCTTATAACATGATCAAACCAACTAAGTATATTTTCTTTGTCATATCCACAATTGACGTTACACCTTTACTTCTCCTTATATGTTCGTTTCTTATACTATCTTCTCTAGTCACTCCACTCATTCATCTAAGCATTCTCATCTCTGCTACACTCATTCTTTGCTCTATTCTCTTATCAAACACCCAACACTCTGAACCATACATCATAGTTGGTTTTACTACAGTCTTATAGAACTTACCTTTCAGCCTTATTGGAATTATCTTGTCGAATAACACACCAGACGCTTCTCTCCATTTTACCCACCCCCAATGTGCTAAGTTTTTTAATTTAAAGCTTGCTCCATTGGTCTTGTGATATTATTTGAAATAAATAGCTGGCTAGTTTGATTATTTTAGTTTTTATGCTTTGGTCTGTGAAGATAGATAACATCAATTGTTTTGGAAAATTTTTTTATGTCAGTGTTAATTAGTTTACATATATCTTGTAAATATATATTTTCACCCTGTGCATTTTCAGTTGCATGTTTAAATTAATTATAGTTAGAATGTGTTTTATCTATATGGATCACAGACTATCTAAATTAACATTAGGACTGGTTGATGAATTGAACCTAAAGGGACACGTTTAGTTTCTTAATTGTATACTTAGAATTTTCAAATATCTTTGATTTACAATTGTTTTTTAACTTGTCTTTTTACGGGGTTCTTAATTATCTCTGGTAATCAAAGATTATAAGAAATTTGCTTTATTATTACATTAAAATTATTCACGTTTTCTATTTGATCAAAACTAATATTATCTATTCCTAGTGAATATGGTGATGTATTTATATTATTATTAATTAATCAATCAATTGTGTTAGTTTGTATATTTTTACAAATGGTGGATAGGTACCCGACTTGTTTACAAAGACGCCAGTCACTTTATTAGTTAAAAATATTCTGATGTGATGTTTTATGTAATAATAATTGATCACTTGTGGCTAATTAACTAAATAAAATTAAAACTATATTAAAAATATTATTAATTTAAAAACTAAAAAATACTAAAAATATTTAACTCAAAGAGCCACAAAAAATTACTAAAAAACCGCGGATACGTATTTGGAAAACAATGTTATCATTATCAACGCTAAACACATACTGAAATACTTATCCGCGGTTTATCAGTAATTTTTTGTGGATCTTTGAGTTCAATATTTTTAATGTTTTTTAGTCTTTAAATTAATAATATTTTTAATTTTATTTAAGTGATGTTTTGTTTTCATAATCAATAGTAACTATTGATTATTGTAACTATTAACTATTAATAACTACTAGTAACTATAATATATATTCAATATTTTTAGCGTTCTCTATTACTAGTAGAATTATGATTTGGTTAATTTTTGAAAAATTATTTGTAGGTATAGTTTGACATTAAGCTTTCGATAACGATTTTAAATAAGAAAAGTTTGTTTCGATTGTGTTTTTAAACTTTCCAATTTTTTTACAGAATTTTTATGTTTGTTTTTGTTAGATGATTCTATAAGAAGCTTTTTGTTAGGTACTAATTTTATTTTTATATAGAAATTTGATTAAATGCTATTATTTGAATTGAGTTACTTTTTTCATAGTTTGTGGTCATGGCGTCCTTTATGCCGCCGATCTGGCTTAATATATGTATATGTGTTTGTGCTGCGCTATTATGGAAAAAGTGAAATTGACATATTATCTGTTTAAGACGACGCAGTACTGTAATTTACTATGCTATCGCAAGCTATAAAAACAACCGGATTAAGATAGCACACGCGTTTACCGGTCGAGAGATAAACACGAACTGACACTATTTCATTACAAATATAATAGAAAATTTTATTCTAAATACATAAGAACACGTTTTTAAATGTGATATATCATTTTTATGTTAGTATTTCCAACACTTAAGTGTAATAACATTAAAGTTTAAATAAATGTTAATTCTTTTGATGAATGGTTGTGCATTTTAAAAGACGTTTTTAAATTTTTTTACATTTTCAATAATTTAAAAATGTATTTTATTATCTAAATGAATGATACATTAGAAATTAATAAAAGTAGTTATGAAGTCCAAAAAAATAACTAAAATCATTGCGTCATATTTAATGTATTTAGATAAAAATATTTTATTTCATGTAGACTTTTTCACCTCTAATTTTACCTTTTGTTCGGGTCATTGAATTGAACTATATCATCATGTTTATAGTTTAAAACTCGATTTCTCAGTTTATTCAATGGATAAGTTCGTTGGTTTAATGGTTGCTATAATATTTTAATAGTTAAAGAAAATTGGTTCTATATTACTATTAAGTGAGTATATTATAATTTTAACGGTGTAATGAGTGATGTTACTTTTTATGTATTTAATGAATGCTAAACGCTTTTTGATTACTCGATAACCTAAAAAAAACTTTTATTGAATATAAATAAAATTAATTAACGAACAATAAATTGCAGTCTAAATTTAGTATTATTAATGTACTTTCATAAACCTTTTAGGTTTATAAAAAACGTCATAAATGCATAGTGTAAAAAACGACTATGCTTTGGTTAATTTATACTTTGGCTCAATGAACTATATCATTGCAATCCAATGTAAAAAAAACCCAGCATACCCGAAACCCTGGTAGCAGAAACTCGATATCGAGAGGGGCTGCATTGGCTATGTCAAGCGACGGCGCATAAATCTACCGAGGGCGTTTTGATGTATGTGCGCGTTGGTATTATGCTTATATATATATATATATATATATATATTAATGTACGTAGGCGCGTTCGTATAAAGGGAGGAGAGACATTGGGAAGTTTTGGGCTTTACTTCCTTCCCTCACTTGGTTTGCTCTAATTAGAGCGACCAAGCCGCGGCTACATAGACCACATTAATCCCGGGGCGAAGGCCGCCAGAAATGCTTCCGGAAACTTCCTCTCGAATTGACCGGGTCGTCCAACTCACTAACACAAATAATATATTACACATGACTTTTATTGTATAGGCGGCAGTAATAGCGTGTTTTTTCGGGTATAACAACACGTAGTAAAATACAACAAAAATCATACCTAACCATATATAATAATAAAGCCTTAGGGTTCTTCACATTCCAACGTTACTATGGCGGGGTTAAGATTCCCAGCCTAATCGTATCATTGCCGCTCGATTGGAGTGTTGAACAAACGACCAAACCGGATTTTTTTACAGTGTTGATTTAAGATAAAAACTAAAACTAGTACATAAGAAATTGGAATAAAATTTTTTTTAAAACTGACTACAAAAATTATTTAAAAATATACCATGATAATGCATTACTTTTTTAGGTAATTATTTGATTGACTAGAAGCAACATTTTAGTTAAATAAAAGAAATATATTGATTTGTATATACAGTGAGGATATACATACAAGGCTGCACTGCTTAAAGAAGGACTGTGCACGTTAGTATGTTAGTGTATTATTGTACAGCAGACACTTCAGTTCAATTTGAATCCACAACACAACCTGTAAATTTTCTTAGATAGGAAAAATACATTTCGGCGGTAGCCTACCACTGCAGCTGTTGTTAACTTGTTTGAGTTACAGGTGAGTGCTTTATGATAAATAATGATAAAGAAATATTTTTAGTTCTTAATACATGTTTGGAAAATTTAATAAGTTTTAAGTGATTGTCTTTTTTTTTAAACTAGTTACTTTGATGTATAAATTTATGATAAAACATTTTTTTATTTAAAATTTGATGGGTAATTTAAATTTGATGAAACATTAAAATATCATCTAATACAAAGTAGACATTCCAAACCACCCCTCAACTTTATTTGAATAAACACCACCACTGCTTTGTAATTATTCATAAATTTATTGAGGCGAAGAGTACTCAAGGGACCAAAAACTGTTTTAACGTTTCTACACCACATTCGCACAAATGCTACTTATACAATTGTCATTTTTAAGGCTATTTGATTGGTTTTCAAATTGTTAAAAAAAAACTATGGCCGTCAATTCAAAATAATTAAACAAAACAGTATAGCTATATGTCTGTATTTTAAACTAATATAATCAGTTACTTATATACATTTTATGTAATTAAAATTGTATCATTTTAAATGAACTTAAAAATAAATTAAATGAAAATTACAGCTTCTATTTCGAATTACTACATCCGTAAGTAATTATTTGGACATTTTATACTTCAAACAAGGAGGTCAAAGATACCAAGAAATGATATAGATATTTAATTGAAGTATAAATATTAAAAACAATTTTTTTATTATTTTTACATTTTTATGTTCATGCTTAACATAATTGAGTTCTATATTATATAATTATTTTCATAGGACTATGTCGTATCGATACAAAAATTATTAATTTTCGAAAAAAGAAGAAAATGGGAACCAGAGTTACGGCTGCTCATTTTTCAGACAAAACGTTCGCCGGAGTGTCTCAATTACTCGAAGATCTTCAAAAATTAGCAGACAATCATGAATCAGCTGATATAGTATTTTTAATAGGGCGAGACGAAGTTCCTGTCTACGCTCATCGCCTTATTTTAATGACCAGGTTTGTGTCAAAAAATAAATTTATTCACTGCATTTTCGTAAAAAACCATTATTTACCCAAAATATAGGAATTAGTAATTCTTAAAACATCATACTGATTAAATAAAAATAACTATTTTTACTTGTATTATTACTAGTTTTTACGACTGTTATCACATGTAGAATGACATAAATGTATTATATAATATTCTTATTAAATTATTTTAAAAACTTATCATCTAAATCAAGTAAATTAATTCAATATATGAAATGTTTTACTAAAATATAATAATTTGTAACACATATAATATATTTATATGTATTATGTATATTACAGTTAATTACATCTCAGAAATTTTTTTATATATACAAGTAATTTTTTTTTATAATTGACTGTAATACTAATAATAGCTTATATTTCATAATGTTCTTTATTCAAAATTTATTTATTTTTTGCTTTCCGCTTTATGTCCATTCTTTTGATCTTACAAATTTAATACGGAGAGATCTTAAAGTAGAAGAAAATATCCAATTGGTATGAATTTATTATTATTTGTATGTGATTATCAACATTTACAATTAATTCGTATATAAATATTACTGAGAAGTATACAGAGTTTAAACTTTATATATCAACCCTTTCCTATATTCCAACCAGCGTTATGCTTTATTTTAAAAGAAACCGTTATATATAGAATGGTATACTATTGCAACATTAAATGAACTCTCTGTTTGTCTTGTCTATTAATATTATATGTGTTAGGATAAATATAAATTATTGATACTTATTTCTCTATTGATTACTTGATATTTGTAAAATAATATGAATATTTTGTGAGTAACTGTTCAAAATCTTTGTTTCTCTCGCAATTGTGGTGTTATAACATTTTTTTTTTCAAAACTGCTCATAAGATGCGTAAAATACAAAAATAAATTACATAGTTAGTTCATATAGTATTTGTAGCACTAATTATAAAACACATTGTTTTTAAAATACGTATAAGTTGTTTTTAAGTATTTTTATTAGCTTTTAAATGTATTTTGAATTATATTATGACTAATATTCCGTGTCATTAAAGACATCACTTAACTAAAGTATTTTCGCAGCATTGAAAATAAATGCAGACTAAATAAGTAACAATGAATTATGAAAATTTCATTAAAATATTATAAAATTATTCATTTATTTCATCTGCGATATTCAATTTAACATTACATAAACAGTTGTTATTTTTCATGTTTAAACTCTCCTACTTAAGTTTAATATACTCAGGTTAAAAAATTAGAATAGTAAATGTTTTTTTATGTAACGTATAAAGAAGATGAATTGACCTTTTGTTTGATTTCCTATAACACTTACATTACCAGTAATAACCATTCAGAAAGAAAGCGCGTATATGGGTTTTTTTTTATGAAATCCGATTTCCGTTCGAAAGAGATTCTCATTTCCGTGTGTTAAGATGGTGGAATGGAAAAATTGCAGGGAACAACGTCTATGGCAGAAACCCATTTGGACCCGTCACTTCTAGGAGGGCTGACAAATATACATACCCGCCAGTCCCAAAAAAGTAAACATACCGTCAAAAATCTTCTAGAATGAATGTATGTGAAAATCACAGACGTACTTGAGTAAAACATTTTCCATACGAACTGGTCTGATTCAATATTTGCACTTTCTGAAATTTATAATTTCCTCTCGATTGAGTGGTTTGAAAGCGTGATTGCGAATACACTTGGGGTTTCTATCATTTGCTTGTATATAGCCTTCAATTTCCGTGACATCTTTAATAGTTATTGTGTTTAATAATAAAATTATATGGTTCGTGTGTACAAATATATCTTAGCTTAGATCTTACAAATACATACTAAGTGTAAACTCGATTTTTAAAGTTTTTGAGTTCAAATTAAATAGTAGACTTTACTTATATGATTTGATTGTATAAATATTGTACTTTCCTTAAAAGAATTTAAGGAAGCACAATTCGCCATAAATTTGTTTTTTACTTGTGACATCTTTATTTATTTATATAAAACTTTAATAGAAGAATTTATTTAAATAGCGCATTGATTTGTATGATTTAATCAATATATATATTTTTTTATTAAATTACTAGTTTTGTATAGTCTTAATTATTTGAACAATTATGTTGTTGATATATTTCATATTGCATATAAACTTTTACAAATTAACAAGTTCCTATAAATAAGTATTATACTCGACTTCTCCGTAACTTAACTGAAAAATATATTGATCTTCGTTTTATATTTATATATGTGTAAATAATTATTAAAACTCGACGAATAATGTCTTGGCAATACTTTTAAATCGCTTACGTTGGTGAAAATTGTACGAAACACGTACAAATATTTATATCAGGAAGCCAAATATCAAAGTTTTCGTTCTTTTATCTAATAATTCTAAAATTGCATTATAAGACATATGATTATTTACAAATAATAAGTTTTGTTTATGATTGAAAGACATCAAACTTTTAAAAAAACTTGATTTGCTATGACGGTTAAATTAATCAACTTTTAAGTAAGAAGTAAATGATAGTCAAACATTTAGTACACCATAATGTACATAGGTTTACATTTTAATAGACCATAATTGCTAAAACAAATAGTCGGTAACGTATTCAACATTTTTTAAAGGGGATGTCACAACATATATGTTGATTTGATTCTTTTATTTTTGTATGTCTTGTAATAAAATGATTTTGTCTTAGTTTAATGAAATATAGTAGATAACAATTATAAAAAAAGTATTTTAGTTTATAGAAATAGAAGTTTATATGCCACGAGCATTTTTATATAAACATATCTTTTTAAATTAAATATGAACTCGTGAGAATTTGGCATACAAGTATATTTTAAAATTAACTTGGCAAATCTATAAAGTTAATATATAAGTTAATTTTTCTTTGTCGTTGTATAATAATTAGAAAAAATACATTAAAAAACAAAAAGGTTAAAAAAATTATGTATAACACCTATTCAAGGGGAGTAATTTGACCCCTGACACGCCCCTTAAATATGCCACTGAAAATAATAATATAATAGTGGATAAAAATTTATTTAGGGGAAAATAGTGATGCTCTCCACCTAGTTTTGAGTTACTGTTTAACTTAAGAACTTCGTTTCTCCTATAATGACAATGACAAATCCGGAATAATAAAGGGAAACAGCCATGCCATTTAGTTTCTGTCATTGTATAGAACTACCAAATCTGTATTAACTTCGAACAGGCACTTTCGATACTTGATGAAAAAACGATTTAATTCTTATAAATAATACTTAACTCCTGTTGAATTTTTTTTTTATTTATATGACAAAGATTTGGTTTGAAATGCTTGTAACAACTTCAATTTAAAAAACTAATAATTTATAAAATAAAAATAAAACTCCTTTTTTCAAAATTTCAATATAAGTATTAAAAAAATAAAATAATTTATTGAAATCATATATGAATTATTGTTTTTTTTATGGTTTAAACTTGCAGGGTTAAATCTCAACCTAATGAACTAATAACATTGTAACAATTAATATTATACAATAATTATGACAATTTTTGAAATACACTATACAATTTATCTTTTAATTTCAACTATTTTTGCTAGACAAATTTAAAATAAAATAACAGTAGTACTATGCATACTTCATATTATTTTAACCAATTATTTTTATAATATTACCCACGTTTTGTAAAATTTTACTTGCATTTTTCTAAATTTTACTAATCTATAATGATTTGAAAACTTGACTACTGTTGACAAATTTTGTGTAAATTTCGACTTATAATTTGTTTACACATTTAATGTAACATTATTGTGTACTGTTTTTATTATAATTACTATTTTAAAATGATATTTAGTATTTTAAACTTCAAGTTTAAGTTCGGTAACAACATAAATTCTTAAAACGTAAATTTTAATTTTCCCTACAATTTGTTATTACTGATTTTACCGAGTAGTGGTCAGTTTACTAGTATAAACAAATAAATTTCTATGACTTAAAAGTAAAAATTATTCAAAAAGGTAGGATTTTTATAGGTCGATGTTTTGCACTTAAGAAAAATTCATTTTTATCAATTATTCATTATATGTATAATAATATATATTATATCATGGATCTACAATTTTTATTAAAATTTATTTTAATAATACATTTAATTTTCTATAATTTGTTTTTTATTTTATCTAAAAATATTCATATTTATTTAAAATAAGCACAAAGCATTTTTAAAGAGAAAAAAAGTAGTCGTGTCAACTATGTGCACTTGCCAATACAAAAACTAAAGTAATACGGTGCCGTTTTATGTGTATTTTTTGTTGAGTTATAATAATTAATATTATGTCGGTAGGCAATTTCTAGATCGTTGGCTAATTGAAGCAGGCCTGATTATTTTTGAAATACTTTTGTGTAAAAACTATCTTGTGAGGAGTTTGGTTATAGTCGTAAAGCTGTCACCTTTGAACAACATCAAAGAGTTTTACCTTTCACAAAGCTATGAACAGAAGCTACTCTAGTTCACCCCTTCGACTGAGCCTTTATAACGTACGTAGCCTAATAGGCCTCTTGAAAATGTAAAGTCTCTTTAATGGCAATGACACCGGGGATCGTCAAAGTCAAAGGAATAAGTTATTAGGATTTTTTTTTTCAACCTCTCCGTGTCCACATATATAACCCTTTGCATTATTGTATTGCAATATAAAGAAAAAAAAATACCTTTCAAAGTAAATGTTAAAGGCCGTTTTTAAATGTGTATGATGTGCATGTATTGTTCTGTTTTCTGTAAAATTAGTCCAGCACATATTTCACATTTTTATTATTTTTCCTCAACATCGTGCGCTAACATGGGTTTTCATATTTTCTTCCTGATAAAATGTATTTTTTTTTTTGTCCATGTCATTACATAAATTTTAATAAAGAAAACAACCAAAATGGGAGGAAGTACCATAAATTTAACTGAGATAATAATTCTTAATGGTGACGAGAGATGAGGAACAGGGAACGGGTTAGAAAAGGAGAGGCGTGGACCCAAGTGTTGGCGCGTGGGCTCTGGGCCAGGGTGTCGTCCGCCGTGCCATTCGGATTATGGTCGTGTACTCAGAACGGTTTTAAATGATGAATGGCTAACCCTACCACGTACCTCTCCTTATACTTGGGACCTGACTGTACAGTGTGAGTACGTGTACGGTGCGTAAGCCGATGAAATATTGCTTTTAACGAAACACAATGTAAAAAGCCATCCATTTTCTACTAGTGTATGCACTTGGGTTCTTCAAGCTCCGATAATTTCAATTTCTACGGTACTCATTTGCTGTGAAACTTTATGCCGTCTAGGTTAATTTTTACGCTTCTTCGCTTTACTGTACCTGATGTATTTTACACATCGTGTAAGGGTTGTTATGAACAAAAACACGAACGATATGTGTTGTAAATCTAATGCTTTTATAATGAATCATTTTGCAGTATAATACAACTATTTGTTTTTGGTTGTTATTAAATTACCACGTTGTATAATTGAGTAAATAATTATTAACTACACGAATAAGTACTTTTGTGGTAAAATATACATGTTTAATTTAATTCGACGTTAAATAAAATTTAAAGAATTTATGACAGTAATTGTTGTAAACTTAAAAAAATATTCATATGCATACACAATTTTAAGTTTTTTAACAGAAAATAGATTAAATATTTAACACAAATTTTAATTTACAAGTGAAATAATACAGCTATTGCACATCATATAAGATTTTTCTATGGGTGATGCTAAGAAAACAGTTGTATGTAAACTTTGACAAATCTGAAAAAGTACATTTCACAAAATCCTAAAAAATCTACAAATAATTAGTGTGTTTTATTAGTATTATCTAAATAAAAAATTAACGACATTATCTTAATGTATTTTTCCAAATCGCCGATACAATTAAAATTAATATAAAAAAAACTGTCAATATTAAAAAAAAATGTATAATTAATACATAAAAACGTACGATAAAACTCGATTAATTTCAAATAAAGGTACAAAAGAGTTCAAATTAATAAAAATATCATAAATAAAAAGCATGCATTTTACTTTTTTTGTTTATTTTCATGTAGACGACTTACATATTTTATGTAAATTCATGTTGCACGTACATACTCTCACAGAAAAATTGTGACTACTAATCTTATTTGATAATTTTTTCATTATGAGCATTCATGTATATGCACAACCATAAACAGAATTCGGGTAGGTTAATAGCTTTTTTTTTTTTTACCAACATTTTTTATTCTGCTTCGCTATTTAAAGAAATTTAAACAAACAAAATAAAATTTTCGTTATCCTCACTAAAAATAATCAACAACTATAATCATATTTGGAGTTACAATCCCCTACTCATAGTTACACCATTGCATCCCTAAATGAAACTTTAATACCTAGAAAACAATTATCAGATATAATTGTGTATCCAGGATTTCCGTTTAGAGCGCTAAAGATCATTTTTTATCATATAACTTATTACATGGTCTTACTAGAGCCAAAGTATTATACTGTTAATAGTAATAATTGATCAATAAAGGGGCCTTTTGCCTTTTTAATAATCTCCTGTATGCGCCATTGATCCGATAGGCATTGTTTACTTAATATTGTGAATAACAACAGTAACATTAAAACTCGCTTATCGTTTATATCATTAAATTTTGGGAATGGTCATTTTTGTCGGAGTTAACAATTTCACATGAAAAAATATTTTTTAAGCAACAATCTAATTGAGTTTTTGACCTAATAGACCTTATTTCTTTCGCTTTTAATTAATTTTTAATGCAATCAATACGTCCTAAGTTTACTGCAAATACCTTCCCCTCCACTAGATCCACCCCTAATTATATACATTTTGCTTCTATATTTAAGTCTATTAAAACTCATAAAAATAATAATATGACAGTTAACGACCATCTTTCATACGTTTTTATTATCCAAAATAAGTGTATAAATTTATCGAATAATGAGTTGATGTGACTGATATATCATTAGTCACTTTTTAAAGGTTAAGATTTTCCACTTTTCAAATAAATGTATATTTAAGCTTTAATTGTAAAAAGTACATTTAAAGTCACTTGGACCTCTCTTAAAAAACTGTATTTTATTATATTTAGATGTAAAAGCTTCCAGTCAGTAAAGCGTGGTGAAATTTGCCGAATTCCTGGATGTTCTGTTTCGCCATCAGCACCTGGTACACCTACTCCTGTCAGATTACCACAATTCCAGGGAGACACATTTAAACAATTTATCAATTATGTATACACTGGGAAGGTATAACAATTATTATAAAATATTATTTTAATAAATCATTTAACTATTTGAAATAATTATGATAGGAACTAAAATAAAACAGAAATTTTTTAATTAAAATAAATGTACAGTTCAAATTACATACAATTCTACATACAAGTAGAAAAAATAAATATTTATTATTATTCAATCAAAATATTGTTCTCATAGTGCAATTTTTAATTTTAAGAATTATGTTAATTATATTAATGAATAAATTAAAAAAGTTCATAGAACATACAATATATTTTTTTATTTAAATGGTTCATAAATATACCTATTTCACAATAACACGATTTTAATTTAATGCATTTAAATATTTTTTTTAATTTTACAATGACCATTTAAATGTTTTAATTATTATATCAAAATTACTCAAAACCATATGATAGATATTATATACAAAACTTACTATGTAATGCTTTTTAAATATATTTAAAAAAAGAATTATAATATGTATAAATGTTTTAAATAATAAAAAGTTTGTTGAATTTTACAATATTTTATTATGATTTTTTTAACACTTAAAATCGTTCCAATGTCAGCTCAAGTAAAAAAATTTAATTGCATATTATGATACATATATTTTTAATAATTTGAACGTTTTACATTGGAAATTAAAAATACTTAATTTTGCAACAAAAATTAATGTCATTTTACTGTTTTCTGCAGATTGTTTTACAAGATAATGGAGTTTTTGAAATGCTAACACTTGCACAAGAACTTGGAGTAGAAGACTTACAAAATAATTGTGAAGAACACGTTTCTTCAACAATGTCAGTTTTAAATGCTTGTACGTTTTTAGCTGCTGCGATGGATATACAGGATAGAGCATCCCGTGAGTCTGTATAAATCAAATTATAAATTACAATAAATACTTAAAAATCAACATTAATTATAATTTTTCTGTGATTTTTTTATGTTTAGCTGGAAAAAGTACTAAATCATTCGTTGATCGCTGTGTTTCGTTCATTGGCGAAAATGCTGCAAAATGCATCAAAACAAATACTTTTTTAAACTTACCTAAAGATTCATTAATTAAACTTATATCTTCAGATTGTGTAAGTTAACAATTTCAATTGAATCAATTTAAGACTGGAAAAAGTGGATTTATTTAATAAAATATAAATGGTCGGATATGAAGAAGTAATTAAAATTTAAATACATTTACATGCGGGTAAATGGAAAAAAAGCTCTTTTGCAAATGATCCTTTACTTCATTTTTTTTATCAGATAGTTAACAATGATTGTCTTTTATGATAAAAGAAGAAATTTTTTCAAAACTAGATAAATTTACTCTTCTAGATACAGATTATAAAACAACTAATGCACAGCTTACATTTTAATAGAAAGTTTAGGGTAGTTCCATATTAATATGTATTTACATTATATTTAAAGCATAGAAATACAAAGTATAGATATACAAAGTATAGAAATACTCATTTTTTTATCTTTAATAGCTAAAGCTCCCAATGATAAATCTTAAGAGTATAAAATAGAGATATCCTTACAACACTTAACTTTAAGTAATACTGCATGAAGTATTTAGTTACATAATTTTATTGTATGTTATTTTTTAATTTAAATTATTCAACTTTATTTATTGATTTGTTAGCAAACATTTTTTTATTAAGTTTTTTTTTCTACATAATAAATATGTTGTCTACATATTTGATACGACATATTATGTCTTACTTACTAGCGAGTAATATTTAAACAACTCTAATTATATTTATAAAGTTGGCTCTTGAAGAAGAGGATGTTTGGAGAGCAGTAGTGAGCTGGGCTAAGTTTCAAGCAGGCGTGGTGCAACGAACTGCTCATTGGACAGAAGAAGAACGAGCAAGGGTGTGCCAACATTTATCAGGAGTTATTAATCACGTCAGACTGTTGTTGATAGGTAAGCCAGCTTTTGTGTACTTTTTTTGATGAAATTTAATCCATCACATTCAGGAAATTACAAATAAGTGTACATGTCTCTTTCAATTGGTTTTAAAAAAATAGCTTACTTTTTCATTAGATTCTCAAGTGTTTGCCGAAGAAGTAGAACCAACTGGAGCTGTTCCCATAGAAATGTCATTAGAACGTTACCGCTACGCTGCATTACCCAATAAATTTAAAGAAATGTCTGAAGATCATCGTCTTCAGCCTCGTGTCATGCTAAAATTTTTTTCAGGATCTCATATTTTAAGTCAAGTATTATATCCTACAAAAATAAAATATCAATTTAATATTATTAACCTTAATTAAATTTTAGGATAAAACGCATTTACAACGAGTTTTAAATCAGTGGTACGGTAGTGTAAAACAATGTTGGCGTTTAATTTACAGAGCATCAACTGACGGATTTTCAGCTGAAGCTTTTCACAAACACTGTGACGGTATTGCACCTACTTACGTCTTAGTATTGGTATATTGATAGTTTTTAATATTACACAATTAATGTATTATGTTATTTATATAAATAGTATTTTTAATACTAAGCTCCTGTCATTACTAATAAAAATGTTTTATCATTTCCAATAATTTTTGTTAATGGTTAAAATTTTGTTAATACATTGTCATAACCTTTAAATTTCAACTGAAACCTTTGTATATTAACTCCCTAATACCTTATGTTCGGTACTTGAATAATATCACAATTAAATAATTTAATTGTGATATTATAATTATTATTATTATTATATTACATAATTATTATGTATTCAATACTTAAACTTAAGTATACTGTATGAATAATATTGATGACGAGTGCATATTATCTAAGTTTACGTATGTATTTAAAGAAATCGCTTCTAAATGGACTTTTGTTTATTCTTTCCATATATGTAGGGCGTAAACGGCTGGCTGAGTGGAGGATTTAGCGACGTTCCATGGGGTAAGAGTCACACCAAGGGTGCTTATATGGTGTCGGACAAGAGCTTCCTATTTTCTCTTAGCACCACTCAAGACACCCCGCCGATAAAATATGATATTGTTAAAAAACCTTATGCCATATGTTACCATCAAGAGTAAGTATTTATTTTATAATATACTTTGAATTTTTTTCATACTTTTTTATTGTTATTCCATAATCTATTGTACTATTCATAAGTCATTTAAAAAAGGTTAATAGAAAAAAGTTCAGGAAAATTAAAATGTATAACTTGAACACAGTTTATCATTGAATAAGTGTAATAAAATTATAATTGCTGGTTTGTATTAAGTTTTAATATTTAATTTTCAACTAGGATAGGCCCTATTTTTGGAGCCGGGGCTGACTTACTGATAGCCAATAATTGCAATGTAAATATGGACAGCTACAGTAATTTGCCACACTCTTATGACGGCGAAAACGCTTCATGTAATTCGTTGATGGGCGACTATAATTTTACTGTTGCTGATTACGAGGTGTTCACTCCTATTACAAAGTAAATATTTTGTAAACTGCAATGATGTAAAATCATTGACTTCTTTACCATTACGATTGTAATTTAAAAAAAAAATAAAATTTCATAAATTAAATGTTCAATATTGTTTTAAACTAAAAGCGATTTAACTATGATATTTACGAGCTTAAGCTCTATTGCTATTTTTTTTAAATATCATTGTCTATTAAATATTTATTTTATTATTGTTCATAGTAATAATTTATTTTAAAAGATAACATGTAAAAAATTATTAATTTAATACGTTGTAATCAAAAACATCCATCTACTCAATATTGACTACCTAGTATTTTTATTACCATTTATATTTTTGTATTTTGTGAAATAAATTTTTTTTTCTAATTGTTCGTTTTCTTTGTCTATTATATTTTATTTTTAAATTTTGAAAAGGATATGATATTCAATCAGTGATTAAAATCGTTGTGAAGGTCACTGCCTATAGACTACTCAGCCTATTGCTAAATAGTAGACAAACGAAATTATACGTCTTACATTAATGTGCCGATAAAATTGTCGAAATTTCATTTTATATTTAGTTTAATTATAGAACTTTATAATTTTTAATTTGTTTTATCGACCTAATGAACTCATAAGCTATTTGACTGTAGTTAAGGAGACGGTAGGTCATCAATGTATTGCGTTCCTAAGTAATATAACTATACCACGTGATTTTCAGCTTTCGATTTATTTGTTTTAATTCAAAAATTACTAAGGGAAATTTAATCATGATATATTTTATCTATTTGATTTCATCATTTATATGTAAATAATTCAATTATCAAAAAAAAATTATATTATATGCAAATTAATATGATTAAACTAGTTAAGTTTTTTAAGGTATGAATTGAAAAAAATACAAATTAAAAAATAATAAAATTAACCAATCATGTTACATGATTACATTATGTATATGATTCATGTATCTGTAAAATAGATTCTTTGTTCTGTAATTATCTTAACGCAATTTTTATAGGATTCATTTATAAATATTTAGTTTTTAAATACAAAATTAGGCTAATTAAAAATTATTGAGTATACTGGAAAATTTCCTTAAGAGTTGATTGAGAAAAGTTTTTAAAAATCCAATCAAATGCACAAAATTAGATTTCATTCGAAAATTATAATTGATTTTTCTTAAATAAAATTACCATAAAAATCAAACTAAAAAATTTACAATTGTAGGCATATGGATCTAATTTATTAATTAAAAAATATACAAGAAAGTTTGTTAGACAAAACAATAGCACATTCTAACAATAATGAACATATTTATCAATACAATCCAAAAAATTGTTACACGAAATGAATTATTACTTTATAATACCATTAAGTATGAAAAAGTATCGTTAAATTTAGTACTTATGAAGTTATTAAAATATAACCATTACAACAAATTTTAATAAATTAAAGTAAAAATTACTATTATAAACTTTGTACATTTATCTACCTATAATCATTAATTCCATCTTAAAATTATGTATATATTTATATATAAAACATTTCCAATCTAAAGGCGGATTTGAAATTTATACAATCAAATAAATATATCCTATTTACTTTTATTAACTAGATAATAAGAATTATTCACAAATTATAAATATAAAATAATACTATAAATTTTCAACCTGTTGATGGTAGTTAACAAATTAATTACTTTTAATATTTTCAGTCAAAATTACTAGCATTGTATATGTCATTATATTTATCTATTTTATTATTATCGTCAATCCTGGTAAAATTTGGTGGATCAATAAGTACTGGACTTCTTAATTTTGGATGCAACAGAATACTGGAAAATCGTATTTCCTGTAAAACAAAAAAAAATATGATTTTTTGAAAATATATATATTTTTGTATTATTCCACCTAGTATAAGATTAAATTCTACGTTTATCTTTTTTTTTTTGAAAATGAAAATTTTCACGGTGATGCGATGTATTTAATCTCTTGTTTTAAGTATTTATTTTATTAGTAATAACAATCGGTGTTTAAAAATGTTTTTGTCATAACATAACAACTAATACTGATAAATATAACTATGGAATATTATTATTTTTAAGTATATTTATTCTATCAGAAAAAAACACGTACATAGAAAATAACAACAATATCTTATGTATATATTATATTATTTTTATATTTCCATAACACTTAATTCTTTAACGGAATGAATATGAAATACAATTCAACATTAAAAAGTTATACACGATATGTGCTAAAATAATTTTTAAATTGTAATACATAAAATATTCCAGATTAATATCGATAACTAATTGATAATAATTAACAATTATTTATGAACTATCTTTAATATGTTTGTCGTAAAGTATAGTATCAGCGAACAAAATTGTATGTTGATCATATTTTTAGTGAATTAAAATTTTTATTTAATAAACCAACACCTTAAACTATTTACAAAAACATTATTTTACGTGCAACCTTTTAATGTACTAAGGTCATTAAAATACACAAATTTAAGGGCTTTCATTTTTTTTTTTTTCAAAAAAAATTCTTAAAAGATTAATTTATGTGTTAGTTTTGTATGATTATGAGAAAATTTTAAGCCTGAAAAATTATTAGTTAATGGACTAACTGAAATTAGAAATGTAAGAACACAAAGAACATTTTCCCTTATCTTCAAAAAAAATCTTCTCTGAAAAGTTGTTAGTATAATTTATTGAGATTTCAGTAAAATTTTTACTATTTATTTATTCTATATTATTAGTCAATTGTAAAATGACAAAATTTTTAACCTTTTAGACTTACATAGATATCATCCGAAATCATATGTTCGTGAGAGAACTTCGCAGGATCATTTTTATTTTCCGCAGAAATAGACAATTTGATTTCAGTAAAATTTTTTGTGCGTAAAACTTTTTCAATATTTTTTAGTTGGATAGGTATGCTTACAACTATAACTACTAATATCAGAGTAATAAAAGATAAAGTACACAAATTCATAATAGTTGCGTGTTTTGAATAATTTGAAATTGTTATTTAAATTACTTTGCTTAAGTGATGAATTGAAACTATCATTATTTTCACATTTCACTCAAGTTACGAGATTATAAAAATCTACAAAGAGGGGAATTTCGCGAAGCGCAAAAAAGCTTAATATGAAACATGTATATATTAACGGGTCAAACTTCATTATTATATGACGCATTGTAGAAATACAACTAAGACATACATTGTACAACCAAACGTTTTAGATGTATACTCGAACAAAATATTAGATATTTATAGAAACAATGATTTTTCTATGCATTATGTAATACGATTTAATTATGATGAAATGATTGATTGAAATTACGACTGGCTATTTCAGTTATTTAATCAAAATTAGTTTTAAACAAGTTTATATTATTGAAGTATGAAAGATTTTATTTTTAAATTTAATAACTTTTATATTAAGCAGTTTATTGTTTACAATAAAAGAAAGTGAAAATACGAGACACTAAAAAACATTTTTTTAGCAAAATAATAGATTTTTCATTATCATGCTTTTGAAGTAGGAAATTAAAGCCATCAAAAACTAAAACATACTTAGAAGTTTGTCTGAATCTTGTAAATAAGAATGCGCTCTAATTATTTTAATACAAAAAATGTTAAACGTTGTAATCTAACTATAGACTTAAACTTGACATTTTTAGCAGGCCTTGATTTACCTTTTTCTAGATTCAATACAATCAAAAACATTGAACTCGGGAGTTTAATTGAACTTTAGTTGGAAAAAATAAAAAGTTTTAAGTACCAATAAATTTTTTTTTTTATAAATCATGATTGATATTTGTGTTTCTCTGTTAACGGGGACCTTTCTTTCGGGTGAGGCTAGAGCAAAATATCCTAAAAGTACATTCATAAATATTGCCTTGATTTTAAGTGAATTAGTTTAGATATCTTCTTTGTAATCATTATTTTTTTAGCGTAAAGATTTTTACAACTCCACTTTAATATAAATTTTTATTCAGTTCATTTATATAAATTGCCTAATTAAATTTATATATGTATATATATTAATAGATCTATTTTAATCTCATTATTTTTTTATGAAAATTTTTTTTGAAAATTTTTTAATAAAATTTAGTGCTATTTATGAACGTATGAAAAATTTTATTTGTAAGAAATTTCTTTAATAATTTACTTTAAAATAATTTTTTTTTAGCTATGGACGCTTAATCATTTAAGAGCAGGGCATGAGTCCTAAGTATTTCTTAAAATAAATTGTGAACTTTTTTACACATTAAGGTACTTAAGGTAAAATTCATTTTACATCCCTCTAAAACTAATTTTTTGAGATGATTCCTCATAGGACATTCTGATCAGTATGTATCATATTAATAACATTTAAAATTGTTGTTTTATTATTAACTTAAACTAAGAAATTGAGTAATTAATGAAAAATCATGGATAACAATTGTTGTTCATAATTTTTATCAATCATTCCATACGTGAGAATGATACGACATGGTTAAATTAATTTAATTATGTCGGTATCAGCTAAACATTTACTAAAATACAATCAAATAAAAATTTTAAAATTTAAATTTGTTCATATTTTTTGAAATTAACAACATTTTGTTTTATTTTTACGCATTATCACAGGGTAAACATTTTTTAACTTGAGTAGTAATCAAATAATGTTTTAAAAAAACAATATTGTTATATTCCAAATACACTATCCAATTTGTTTATTTACCAACTTAATAAATATTTAATAACGTATATAAACCTGAGATGATAACAGATAAGAAATTGTATGTAATTGTTTCTTCCATGAATTGCGACAATACACGTCCACAGAATAGCTATGTAGGAAGACCACGCCTGTGATTTTGAAATTCCCGTTTTTTGTGTTAGTCGTGGTAATCCCTGCCACCGTCGGGTGGATTGTCCCCTTCCCCGCATGTCTATGTTCTGCTGTACTGCACTGTTTACTCCTTCATGACTTCTACTTCCCGTCAACCTATAATCCCACCAGCAAAATGGCGTATTCATTGCGGTTGTAATGAACGTTCGCCGCGATCTTTCAACGATATAACCGTTTGTAACATAATATTATGCGTCGCGTTCCGTAATCACTCACGGTGACAGTCGCAAACCACTCAAAAAAAAAAAAAAAA